GGGGGGTTGACGAGGTGATTCGGGCCGTGAACAATAGACTCTTCTTTTTGGATGGTCCCGGTGAAACAGGAGAATCGTTTCTACTGGAGCAGATACTTGTTCATGTTTGCATCCAGCGAAAAATCGCTCTTGCAGCGGCTTCCAGTGGTATTACAGCTAATTTGTTGACAGGAGGACACACCGCGCGCTCAACGTTTCGTATACCCCTCAAACTTACGGAGTTTTCGACGTGCAGCCTTCCTTGGTACGGACAGAAGACGGAGCTAATCTGAAATATCAGTCTGATCATTTGGGACGAGGCTCCGATGATGAATCGAGCTTGCTTCGAGGCTGTTGACAGGTCATTTAGGGATATCATGGGAAAACGATGTGGAGCCATTTGGAGGCAAGGTAGTTGTTTTAGTGGCGATCATCAACAAATTTAACCAGTTCTAAAATATGCTACACTTGCGGAGGCTGTTAACGCTTGCTTCAAGAGCTCTTCTCTATGGGAGCACTTACGTCAAGTCCGTCTAACCGAAAAGATGCGCGATCGGACTGCCCCTAATCCTGCCAGCGCTAGCGAGCTATCAGCGTTTTCGGAGTTCCTACTTCTAATCAGAGAGGGGTGCTACCCAGTCAGTGAGGAGATAGGTGAGAACAATATCTGTGTCCCACGCGATGTTTCAGGAGCGTAGGGAGGTGTTGCCAGTGATTGACAAAGACAGCAAGAAGATAACGAGGACTTGGAGCCGCCTACGAACTTAAACCTTCTACCTCCGATGGACGAACCGCACCCACGCGACCTGGATGAATCTGAAGATGAACGAAGGACCAGAAACTTCAATGCGCTGATTGATGCGGTTTACTCAAGTGTTGATAATGAAGAATTACGCAACGATTATCTCGTGGAGCGAGCAAGTTTGTCGCCAAACAAACCAAGTGTCAGGGGGATCAACGATATGGTTTCGGAACGCCTCACTGGCGAGACGAAGGAGTACGTATCGATCGACTCACTCGAAGAAGTAGCGGATGAGAATTTGTTTGAACAGGAGTTCTTAAATTCCCTAAAATTCTCCCTCACCGGTTAATGTTGAAGGCCGGAACTCCAATTACTATAATCCGCAATCTGAACAGCAAAGAGGGACTTTGCAACGGAACGCGGCTGAGAGTGGTGTCACTTCGGGAGAGAAGCATTCAAGCTAGCGTTTTGACAGGGCCTTTCAAGAGTAAGACTGTGTTTATCCCTCGGATCATTTTTACTACCGATGACGACGACAAAGAATTTCCGTTCGCGATGAAGAGAAAGCAGTTTCCAATTATGCCAGCCTTTGCCATGACAATAAGCAAGACCCAAGGAGATTCACTTTATCGTGTGGTTATATACCTGGAATAGCCTGCTTTCACACACGGATAGCTCTACGTGGCGACTAGAGGAGAGATAGAGAGCTGAGTGGGTATTGCTTCAGTATTTAGCATGGAAGTTTAGATACGGTGTTTTAACGTTAATAGTAGCGTAATGCTACTATCATTTGTGATATCTCTGCCGATTAATGTTACGGATCAGCCTTTTACTCACCCCCAGGGTAGGCTTTACGGGGCCCTATGCAGGGGCAAAGATCTTAGGAAATTAAATCGGAGGGCGTTTTGGCAGAAAGGCACAATAAGAGCGCTTTTACTGATTGTTGTATCCAGTTTCTTTATCTTTACAAAGATATCGAATCCGGGATTCGGAATCTCGTGTTTTTCCGAATTGTTATTAACTACTTCTACTAGTAGCATCTGAAAGCCCTCAAAGAACCTTATTACTGTAAACGGTAAACATGGTAAAGGTTTAAGCGTAAGCTACATGCACATCAATCACACTCACGAGGAGTCTTCGTCGTCAATGGTAAGCATATTCTCTGGGTCGTCGCAGTCGTCACCGATCGGACAGTTAACGTCGTCGTCGGGCATGTGGTACAAGCACTTGCTAATGAGGAACTCCTGACGGTATTTTTGCACGGCCACGTCTTCAGGAACGTCATCGATGCAAACCTCAAGGAAGTACTTAAACAGGAACATGCTACCGATGAATATCGAGAACATCCACGCGCGAGTTGACGCTTCCAGATGGTTGAAGAAATCGCCCGTGAAAATGACAACGGCCCCGTTTGTGCATACCGAGATGGCTGCGAATGCCTGCAGCACAAGATACCAGTATCCCATGCTGCGTACATTACGCGGACGAGGGCGACGCGACTCAAAAATGAGACGGTAGGCATCCAGACGGATCTCGAAGTAGTTGTTCACGTACGAGAGCAAAGGTGCAAACGGGAACGCTACCACAAACATGGTCGTGAAACCAAATTGGAGCGCCATCTCAGTGTAGTCATCAAATGTACCGTGCCAGTCGTATTGTGCCATGAAGAGTTCGCGCTCGGCATCAGATTTCTTGTAGTCATCCAGGTGGCCCAGTAAGCGGTACTTACTGAAGTACACGAACAACCGCGGGATCGCTACCTCAGTGATGTTCCCCACGAAAAGGCGAGAGCAAAACACAATAGCGAGCATGTACTCGAGTTCGTGCATGCAGCTCACGTCGCAACCTTCAAAACCTTCCTTTAGGAACGCCACGTAGAAGAGGCCCGCGTAGTTGTTAACGAACTGGAAGATCACAGTCTTAACGATGAGACTGTTCTCATATTCCATGTCCGTGCGGTGGTTCTCCTGGTCCACAAGCACGATGGACACGTAGTTGTAGATCTTTGTCATGATAGTGATCTGGACAACATTGGCCAGTGAAGACACGATAGAGCCGTACTTGTAGTCGTCCAGCACAAGCTTGTCCGAGTCATTGCCCTTGGTGAGATCGTACGTCAGCATGAAAATCGACGAAACGAGTACAAACACAATCAAGATGAGGAAGGAGATGACAACCCAACTGTACGCCACTCGCTTGAGCTTTTCACGCGGCGGGAAGTATCGCGTGGACTTGCCGTTAATGGGCGACGGAATGCGTTCACCGTAGAACTGTGGACGAAGATTCACTGTCTCTGAGAAGTGCGCTGTGCCCCAGCGCAACGTCTCACGTGAGTTGAGTCGCTTCCAGTTCTCTAGATAAATGGTCATCCAGATCGTCATAAAGGCACCGAAGAGAGGTGAGACATAGGCGAACACGGTGTTATAGTTGTCGTGAGGGATAGAATAGCTCACAATGCCCGTGACGATACCCACCAACGTCGGATACAGTAGCCACTGGGTGTAATGCCCCAGATACAGAAAGTAGAGCGCCACCTTGACGCCAAAGTACTGGCAGATGCGGTCAAACGGCTGGTTCATAGGGGACATATTCCACACAATCCAGTGCTCCTTTAGATCCATCTTCTCTTCTTCCTCGTGTAACGGGTAGGTCTCCACAATGATTCCTTCGTAGATCAGACGATCGATATCTTGGCCAGCACCTGTCTGGTGGTTGGTGATAATATGCTCGATAAGTCCGATACGGTCGGTGCTGGAGAAGAGCGAACCGTTGGGGCCCTTTCTGGAGTAAAAGTGCTGCAGGTCTCGAGCCTGAAAGTAGGGCGCGAAGATGTAGTCGAACGGAGAGTAGCGGTACGTTTGCTTCACGTCACGGATCGGGAAGGGCGCGATGCCGTACTCCGGGATGCCGTTGAATGAGGCGCGCCGCAGCTCCGTCGGGTCCAGCTGCAGGTGCAGTTTGAGCACCTCGGCTTCTCGCCGCATGAGCTCTTCGGGCGCGCGGATCTTGCAGAACACGAGCTCCTTGCCCACAGAATAGAACAGTCGCAGCCGCAGCCCAGCGCCGCGCAGTCGCTTGATGATGGTGTCGCGCTCATCGCTCACTTCGATCACGTGCTTGGGTGGGTTGGGGAATACAATCACGTAGTCCCAGCGGCCACCCGCCTCCACCGAGGACGTGCCGTAGTCCAGCGGCACCCGCAAGCGCAGCTCGGCGGTCTGCGGCTGAGGATAAGGATCGCTCATGGCACCAACTCGGAATTGGCTCTTTACTGGATGCTGATCCTGATTTACTGTAGCCTACAGTCTGGAAGTAAATAAAATCCATGATTTGCAAAGCGAAATTTGAAAGGTCATTTCAAAAAATTTTGCCTCGAATGTTTTGCCGCAAAACATTGTTTTAAATACAGTTATTAATATTGCTGGGGATGACACATCGGGGCATCGGCAGTGATACCGATAACAGCCAACAATGTGAGCGATTCACAAGGACGGGCTCTTGCGTGTTGCGACGAATGCTTCAGCACTTACGCCGCAACTTATAATATCGTATTTTGTTTGAAGGCGAAGCACTGCAGCGAAGGCTTTGGAGGCAGGCTGTCTCAGACAGCACAATCATAGAGCTCACATTAAAGCACGACAGGATCGCATGTGGCTACACTGTCGTACAGCAGCTAATATGGCGGACTCTTCGCAACTGCGACTCGCAACTTGCGAGTACAGCATTCGAACAATTGCATCAAGTTAGGATAGCTAGCGTGAGTTACAGCTTTAATTTAGCAAGTGTCTGTATCCAGGATGCATGTAGCGGATTCTCCGGCATACAATAACAGCAATCTGAGTCCGCCTTTAGATTCTCGTTCTCCGGATCGATGAGCCTGTTTTGCCAAGTTGCGAAGCGGCAGCAGATGCCGCCCCACGCCTCCACCATATCGATAGCTGCGAAGTCGCTTTTGTGTGGTAACGACGCGGATCAAACGCAGTTATGCCCCGTATCAACTGAGACCAAGTTGTTGTTGCTGCTGTCATTGTGGCCAGCCAATTGCCATCGAATGCTGCTTCGAATCCGACTCGTCACGCGTGGAGGTGGTATTTTCTCTGTGCGGCGTCGACGATTCGTATATCAGATGTTATATACTTTCTTATAGAGGTTAGCGGGAAACTTTTATTCTGGTATTTCTTAAATCCGTATTTGAAAACACATATTCTTAAACCTCTTCATAAACACAGTTTATTAATTGTGTAAGACAAACTTTACCATGAAGAGCCATATGCTGTGATAGTTGGGTAATCAAGTTCAGAATCCGAGTGCAGAATCTCCAGATGCCGGGGTGTCGTGTATGGCTGCGACGCGCCCTGGTATGGCTCGCACCATTCGCGATTTGGCTTTACGGTGGGCAGATTATTGCTGTACGTCCCGCCGTCATTGCACTGATCAAGGAGCAGGTGCAGCAACATCGCAGATAGCATGAGCTCCTCCTTCGCCAGCCTCGTCAAGCAGCGCACGCAACGTGTCAGCACATTTATCGGCAGTGACACGAGCACGTTCCTCTCAAACGTTTCTTCCCAGCGAGCCACGATGCTAACGTCGCCGTCGCTCTCGTCCGGTGCCGAGACGCTGGAAGATTGGATGTACTGGCAGCGCGATGCCAACAACGCTCACTGCTGGACCAAGGTGTACGGCGTACTCGACAACGAGTTCTTGTGGCTATTCAAGGGCAACCACTCGAGTCGGACCATGTTCCTACAGATAGCGGTCTCGAGCGTCGAGGTCTCGGGCCAGCGCCAGTTGCGGATTGTGGACCCGAACGGTGAGGATATGGAAATCTGGCTGATGGACGATGACAGCTTCGTCGCATGGCGGCAGCGGCTGGAGGAGGCCGCTGCACTTACCACTCAGTTCTTCCGCATGACAGAAATCGAGGCGCATCGGCTTCCGCGCAACAGTGCCTATCGCGGCAGTCTCGTCAACTACCGTCGCAATAGCAAGCGTACGCGCTACAAGGCCGCTATCGAGTGGATGGCGACGCGCTGGAGGCAGAAATTTGTGCAGCCCGCGCGGTCACCACGGCGGTAATCCGAAGCGAAGTTCGTTTGGACCAGCCCTGCATCAGCGTTTCGCATACATCCACTCCGACCTGTGGTGGGCGGTGGAAATGCACAAAAAGCGACCAAACTGACAAGAATGACTTACGGGTCAAGTCCGAACAACGACGACAGCTGCAACGTTGTTGAGGTCTTCCATAATTATGCTGTCTTCAGCCACCTAATAACCTATTTAAAGCGTTTCTTGCGTTCCCACTCGAGTCTCAATCATACGTGTATTACATTCAAGCGACACCTCCGCCGGCCCGCCAGGAATATTTGGAGAGAGTTGCCTATCGCTGCTCGAAATTGTGGCCATTGGCATGGAGGCGTGAAGGTGCGGGATTTGCGTTTACGGCCTGCAGGCTGTCTGTAGTGGTCATGAAGACATCAATTGGCGCCCCCCAGCAAATTTCCGCAGCTTTCCACAGGCAGCAACGGAGGCTCCTGTGGAAGCCACAGTGGATGCCTTCCATTTTCCTATGGGTGGATTGGCCGCTGTGGAGTTTCCACTGGAGACGATAAGCGAAACAACGGTTTCCCTCTGGTAATTCAAAAATCGACAACGATAGATTTCCACCCCGTCTTCGCTCGCGCATGTCTCGCTCCCTCCTCTGTCCAGGATCACTCCGCAATTTGCGCCGCCTAAACCAAGATCAGGTTGTATTTATCATAGGCTAGAAAGCGAGTCATGCGGCGACTGTCGTTAACGGCAATGCCGTCGCGCCGACAAAAGCAGCAGCAGCGTACGAGCTTCAGCTCAGCTTGTGGCAAGTCCACGAGCAGTTTGCGCTCGACGATCGGCAACTTCAGCATGCTCTCGTCGTCTGCGGCCACATCGGCGTCCTCGGATTCGCTTACGTCGTTGTCGACTGCCTCCAGCTCGTATGGCGGTCCCATGGAGGACTACGACGACGTGGACGAGGAGATCGAGAATGAGGAGTGCTGTGAGCAAGGGTGGATGTATTGGAAACAGCGCGACGACTGTTGGCTCAAGATGTATGTTCGTCTTCGCAATGAGTTGCTATGGCTCTCGAAGGGCGCGGACGATGTGGTGGCCGTCGTTCAGATCGCAGTCGCGGGCGTGCGCGCCACCGACATTGGCGGCATCATTGCACGCGGCCCCGCCGGTGAGAGCATGGAGCTTTTCGCCTACGAGCGTGATCGCACGCGGGACTGGATAGACGCACTCTACGTCGCGGCTCAGCTTACTCAATCTTACGAGCGCTCCGTGGCGGCTGAACCGGCGGAGACCGAGATCTCACATCAAGAGATTAAGGAGGTGGAACAGGTGTACACAGGTACATTGGTGATCTACAACAAGGAGCAGAGGAAAGCCCCGTGGAAACAGTTTCTTTCTACCAAGCGACTGCGCGCTGCGTGCCGACGACGACTCGAGAAATTCGTGGACCGCTTGGACACTTCCAAGCGGTAGATTTTAACGTTCCGGGCCTGGAAAAAAAAGCAGCCCCGAGGATGACCGTGGAAAGCGCCAAGAGGGTGGCGCATGTAGCGAGCTCGACAGCTCGCACCCTATTTATCATCAATCCAAAAAAGTAAAACTTGTACTGTAACTGCACTGTTATGCTGTCGTCAAGTGATATTCACTTGCTTTCGTTACTTACTACTTCAGTATTTCCATTTCAGCACAGCGTCAGGGTCAGCAACCAGTCGCCGAACACGCTCATTTACCGACGAGTTGAGGCAGCTTCGGTCCGCAGAAAGCGAAGATAACATGTTAAAGCAGCAGGATCAGACAGGATGACGGCACAGTTTTAGCCGAACTTCGCGAACCTCGCCGAAATCGACCCGATGGGCGTCATCGAGCAAAGCCTTCGCGATCTTGTTGATGCACGTTCAAAATCCCGTAGGCCTGGCAATGAACCTAGGCTTTCCACCTGAGCCAAGCAAAGATCATGTGACGGGCTCACGGATCTGCAGCGCTTCTCTACGGCTTTTCGGTTTCTAACACGGCCTTGCGAGCGTAAAATTCATTCGTCCATTTGTGCATGTGCCGCCTCTCGGTGGCTCGAGCTGCTTTCAGCGGCTGTGGGTCGAGTGCGTTGCTGAACATGAGGTCAAGGTGGTGAGCGCCACCTTCGATATGCACGGCAACCACCGAGTCCGAATAGTTCTGCAACACGCCCGTGGCTGAGCACGGATCGTAGTTCCCATTACTGAAGACGATATTGCTTGAAACTTCCAAGAAGCGGCGTCCACCGTAGTGAATTGTCGGCCACATGATACGAGCATCGATATCCCACTCGGCGTGGCAGCTTGCATTGTCCGTAGAGAAGTTCCACGGTGCGCTCCAGAACATATCCTTCACTCCGTCCGTGGTGGTGGGCCCGTACAGCTCCGCACAGTAGATATAGTCCCAAAAGTTGCTGTCCATCGCGTCCTCATCTGACGGTGCGCTGAGCTGGAAACATTCCTTGTCGTCGGTGCTGTTGTAGTATACTCCAACTGTCTTCGAAAACGCCCTTAACAGCTCCAGTTCGCCCTCTTCAGTGTCGTCGAAAGCGTCGTGTAAATGGGAGCAAGCTACACGCATGGGGTAGGCAGGCAGCTCGCTGACTCCGTTCATGATGTACGACGACGGATACGGGTAGTTGCCCATAGCCATGGAATAGAAAGAATCTCTCGCCCACTCCATTAACACATCAATGTCCTCTTCAGTGTCCAATGGTGTATCGGCACAAAGTGATAGCGCTTGTTTCAGCTTTCTACGGCCATCGGTAGTCTTACCGAGGGCTTTCATTGCTGGCCAAGCTCGACGGATGTTAGACACGCAGTTTTCGGCAGACCCAGCGGCTGGTGATGCAGTGAACGTCGCCACTTGCGCATACCCACCAAGGTCATGAGCTACTTCATCGCCGAAATACGACAAGATGGGGGCGGAAGCTGCGATGACGCCGTCAATGATATGAGGATATTTCATGCGGAACCAAGACCCCAACATGCCGCCGTACGAGCCACCGAACCCAATTACAGGGATATCAAGCTTCCACTCAGTCTTCAAGTACGTGATCAACACTGCGTAGTCTGCCAGCGCCTGCTCCGTCGACAGATATTTCATGTGCTTCGTCACGTCCTTGCCAAACGGTACCGACTTGCCAAAGTACCGATGCTCTGCGAACACGAGCATGGCACCAAACTCGTCGGCGTTCTCCCACATGAGGCCTGTGTGGTTCAAGTACAGCTCGACGTCGGCCTCATTGCCCACATAGAAGAACATGACGCCTCCGGGTTTGAAGTGGTTGTCACAGACGAAGTATCGTTGCTGGTAGGTTGGCGCTCCGACGTCGAAGTGGTCTAGTGTCTGTGTGAAGAACTTCTCATCGCATTGCTCGATTAAGTTCGTCGGTCTTGCTCCAGTATTGAGCACGTTGTCAACTTCAGAGGAGGGTAGAAATTTATCTTGAAGCGCGCTACTTGCGGTTGTATTTGAGCCTTGAAAGCCCACCAGCAGCAAGGCAGACATTATCACACCGCTGAGCAGCACAGCAAAGCCAGAGCGACCTAAGTGGTCTGTAATAGACCTCCCTTCATCCTCGACCAACAGAATAGGCGTCTTCTCTTCACTTAGCATATCCACTCCTTCTCCCTTCGAAGAATTCTGCGCAATAAAAAGCACGGCGCGTCTCCATTTTCATGATGTGTCATCATGACACTGTCATGTTGAAGTAAAGTTTCTCAGGTAGACTTTCAAAACCTGCTGATCAATATCGTGCTGGTTGTTATTGACAAATGTTGCTCTGTTTTCCACCAAATTGCTTGCCTCCTTGCATTATTTCTTCCCAACTCACTCTCTGGCGATGGCAGCCTTGCGGTCGTAAAACTCTCGAGCCCACTTGTGCATATGCTGCTTTTCAGCCTCACGCACGGCCAGAACTGACGGAGTGTCAAGCTTGTTGCTAAACATCAGATCGAGGTGGTGGGCGCCACCTTCAACGGAAAGAGCGACAACTGAGTCCGAGTAATTCTGTAGCACTCCCGTGCCCGACCACGGATCGTAGTTCCCGTTGCTGAAAACGATGTTGCTTGCCGCCTTGAGTGCCTTACGACCACCATACTGTGTCGTGGCCCAAAGCGGACGAATATCGATCCCCCACTCGGACTTGCAGTTTTCATTGTCAGCAGTGAAATTCCACGGAACAGGCCAGAACATGTCGTTCACGCCGTCAACGTTCTGGGGCTGGTAAATCTCGGAGCAGAAGATGTAGTCCCAAAAGTCCGAGTCCAGGGCAGACTCGTTGGATGAGGCGCTTAGCGCGTAGCATTCTTGGTCCTTGGTGCTGTTGTAATAAACGCCCAGTGACTTTGCGAAAGCGGATAAGAGACCCACCTCGTCATCTAAAGCGAAATCGTCGGCGATAAAGGAGCACGCTACGCGAACAGGGTACGCGGGCAGTACACTAACACCGTTCATGATGTACGAAGACGGGTACGGATAGTTTCCCATGGCCATGTAGTCAAATGCTGACTTGGCCCAGTCCATGACTTTATCCACATCCTTCTGAGACTCCACTTTCACAGAGTCACAAAGTGAAAGAGCCCTTTTCAGCTGCTTTCGACCCTTCTCGGTCTCCCCAAGCTTCTTCATGGCTGGCCACGTCCGACGAATGTTTGATGCACAGTTAGGAGCAGAGCCTGCTTCCTCGGACGCATCGAACGTCACGATACATTCAAACGATCCTTTATCCAACGGAACTTCGTCTCCGAGAAATGAAAGGATTGGAGCTGATCCCGCAATAACACCGTCAATGATATGAGGATATTTCATGCGGAACCAAGACCCCAACATGCCGCCGTACGAGCCACCGAACCCAATTACAGGGATATCAAGCTTCCACTCAGTCTTCAAGTACGTGATCAACACTGCGTAGTCTGCCAGCGCCTGCTCCGTCGACAGATATTTCATGTGCTTCGTCACGGCCTTGCCAAACGGTACCGACTTGCCAAAGTACCGATGCTCTGCGAACACGAGCATGGCACCAAACTCGTCGGCGTTCTCCCACATGAGGCCTGTGTGGTTCAAGTACAGCTCGACGTCGGCCTCATTGCCCACATAGAAGAACATGACGCCTCCGGGTTTGAAGTGGTTGTCACAGACGAAGTATCGTTGCTGGTAAGTTGGCGCTCCGACGTCGAAGTGGTCTAGTGTCTGTGTGAAGAACTTCTCATTACACTGCGCTAGCAGATTAGTCGGCACGATATCGACGTCGAACGTCAGTAGCTGATGCTTCTCAAGGTTTGTAGAGATGGGAGCAGGTGGTGCAGTCACCTTCCAGCTGAAGGTCATTGCGAGAAGAAGCACAGGCGTCGCTACCATCCCTGCGATTGCCAGTAGCAAGTGGCGACGACTACGTAGCGAGTCCTCACGATGGATCGTTGCTGTAGTGAGCAGCGTTGTCTTCTCTTTGGCCATCATATTGTATGACACTTCCAGTTAGGTAGTTCCACACTTCCAGCAGCGAAACTTCCAGCAGGAGATTGTACGAAAAAAAAATTAACTTGTAGAACTTTCGATGAAAAATGTTGCTTTGCCATCCCAGCCAATTATATCTCTCAAAATATTTTTCCATTATAAAGCACTTTTCCTGCATAAAAGTTATTTCCTTGACTGCTCATAGTTTATGTCCACCGATAATAAAAAAAGGTCAAAAGTGGGCCGAAACCAAAAAAAAGCGCACTTTTTCTATACAAAGTACTTTTATTCAAAAAGCCATTTTGCAGAATCGGATCTAACAGTAAAATCACCCACATAAAAATCAGCATGTTTTTATCTAGTTTTAACGTTTCGTTTTAGCCGTCTAGCAAGTGTTTTTCGTGAATGTTGCCCTAAGGTCTTCCCAGGCCCTCCCCCTTTTTAGGCCGCGTGGAGCTTCATCGCTTGCTCGATATCCGAAAGCTTCGAGGCAGGAAGAGCATCCGAGCGCCGCCTCTAGGCCATGAACAACCCTCCGTACCAGCCGTACGGCGGCCCGCCGCAGCAGAATATGCAGCAGCAACAGCCGCCGCAATCGCAGCCTCCGCATGCCGGTGCTTTTCGGCCCTTCAACCCTGCACAGGTGAATGCTCCGCTCTCAGGCAGTGGAGGCCCCGCCTTCGCACGCAGCGCCACCAGTGGCCCGCCTTCCACCGGCAGTATCAACGCGCCGCCTCAGCATCAGCAGATTAATGCTGGTCCGCGCGGCTTTGCGCCACCGAACCGCAGCTTCTCGTCGGGTCCAGCTAGCCAGCCTACGGCCCCACCTCCGCAGCAGTTCGGCAGTCACCCGGCACCTATGAGCGGCGGCCCCAGCTACGGCCCGCCTCGAGGAGGTCTACCTAATGCCCAACAGCCACAGATGATGCGTGGCCCGCCGCCCGCAGGCGCAGCACCTCCCATGGGCCAAGGAATGCGCGGTCCACCTCCTCCAGGAGCTGGAGCCATGAGCCAGGGACCCCCTAACGCCCAGAATGGACTTACGCAGCAATTCGCTAACATGGGACTCAATAACGGACCACCCGGTGCGACCACCGGGCCGCCGAGAGGGCCCCCAATGGGAGGAGCTCCACCCCCACCTATGGGCGGAAGTATGGCACCTCCTGGTGCTCCGGCCGCTATGAACCAACAGCCACCGCAGCAGCCAATGATGAACCAGCAACAGCAACCGAAGGCCTACAACAACAACCTCCCGAGCGGCAACTTCCAGCAGCCAGACATGATGAACGGTGCGTCGTCTCAAGATGTTGAAGTGGATCTTGACGTAACTATTCACTTTTTTATTGCTATCGTACAGATGGATATGGCGGCCAACCGGGTTTCCAGAACCAGCAGGCGCAGCAGGCTTCGCCCTTGACGGAGGAGATGATGGCGTCCCAGTGTGACTCGAGATACATGCGACTGACGGTGAACGCACTGCCGCACTCCCTCGACCACGCCAACAAGTCGAAGCTTACGTATGGGCTGATTATTCGTCCGTTGGCTCCTTCGGAGGAGGGAGAAGAACTCGATGTGGTGAACTTCGGCCCTACTGGTGTCGTGCGTTGCCGCCACTGCCGTACATACATGAACCCGTTCGTGCAGTGGGTGGATAATGGCCGTCGCTGGCGATGCAACCTCTGTGGTGTATCCAACGACGTTGCTAGCTCGTATTTCTGCCACTTGGGTGCCAACCAGCAGCGTCAGGACCGCGACGAACGCCCGGAGCTCAACTCTGGCAGTGTGGAGATTGTCGCACCTTCGGAGTACATGATGCGCCCTCCCCAGCCGCCGTGCTACGTGTTTGTCATTGATGTATCGGCCACTGCTGTGGCTTCAGGCTCAGTCCAGATCGCGGTGGATACTATCAGGGAACAGCTCGACAACCTTCTTGGTGCCCCTCGCACGCGTGTGGGTTTCCTCACATACGACAGCTCGATCCACTTTTACAACCTCAAGGTTCGTGCTGCTGCGATGACTATAAAACCTGTATTTATGACATTCTGACGTTTTTTTATTGTTGATTTTTTTCTAGTCTACGTTGAAGGCCCCGCAGATGATGGTGGTTGCTGATTTGGATGAACTCTTTATTCCCATTCCGGACGAACTGCTTGTGAACTTGAGCGACTCGCGCGAGATCGTCGAAATGCTGCTTGAAACGTTGCCCACTATTCACCAGAATGCGCGCTCTGCTGAAACTGCGCTCGGACCTGCTATCCGCGTCGCTTTCAAGCTCATGGTACGTGTGAATTATTATGTGTTTATTGAATCTTGTATTGTATTAACATCGTGAATGTTCGTGTGGTTTTGTAGTCATCTATCGGTGGTAAGATGCTGGTTTTCCAGAATTCGCTCCCTTCGACTGGAAACGGAGCGCTCCGCAACCGCGACAACCCTCGACTATACGGAACGGACAAGGAACACACTTTACTACAGGCAGTGGACACGTACGTTACCTGCACTTTAGTGCCTTGGATGCTCAATTATTGCTCATTACTGACATTTTTTGTCGACCTTTTTACAGATTCTACCGTACCAACGCCATTGATTTCTGCCGTCAACAAGTCAGCGTCGACATGTTCCTGTTTTCTTCGATGTACACTGATATCGCCTCATTGGGTACGTTACGAGTTGTTACTGTCTGATTGATTTATTGATTTACTTCGAAGTATTGATTTTACATGTGAACTCACGTGATAATTTGTGAAATTCAGGTTCGCTGTCGAAATACTCGGCAGGTCAAGTGTACTATTACCCAGCGTTCAATGCTGAGCGAGATGGAGAGAAATTTAGCAAGGAGTTGGCACACTGTCTCGTTCGTGAGACTGCATGGGAGGCGGTCATGCGTGTGCGCTGCACGAAGGGAATGCGTCTTGCGAACTTCTACGGCAACTTCTTCTTACGCGGCCCGGACCTATTGGCGCTACCGACGTGCAACGCAGACTCGACTTTCGCAGTGGAGATTACGCACAGCGACGCTCTGTTGACGTCCTCGACGATTTCCGTGCAGGCTGGACTGCTGTACACGAACTCAGGGGGCGAGCGACGTATCCGCGTGCACACTATTTGCATCCCTGTTACCAAGCGTACGTCTCGTATGCTATCTGCCTGTAGTCTGAGATTGATAAACTAACCTCACTGTGTTATTGCTGCAGTGTTCGCGGAGCTCTTCCGCCAGGTCGACCAGGACGCTCTGTGCAACATTATGGCCAAGAATGCGCTGGAAGTTGCTCTCAAGACGGGACTGGACAGTGGCCGCTCGCGTTTGCAGACTCAGTGCGCGGATATTGTTCGCGCCTACCGCAACTCTGGCGCGTACGGAGCGAAGCAAGCGTCTGGATATCAGTTGCACTTGCCAGAGTCACTGCAACTTCTTCCTCTGTATATCGTACGTCCATTGATGTGTGGTGCTTTTTGCTGAAGTAAGGCTGACCCCACTGCTTTATGTGGTTGCGTGCAGATGTCTCTATTGAAAAACTCGACTCTACGTGGAGGCACTGACTTGAATGTGGACGAGCGTACATTCCTGCAGTATGAGGTGCGTCTGAACATTGACATGTATCATTAAAGTCAAAAGCCCTGATTTAACACTGGATTTGTGTGATTATTACAGCTGAACAACATGCCTGTCGAGCTGTCACGAGTGTTTATCTACCCTCGGATGTTCGCTCTACACAACATGCCACCAGAGGCTGGTCTGCCAGAAGAAGACCAAGCAGAGGGTGCAGACGGTGGCAGCGTCAACTCCATCGTGTTGCCGCCAGTGATTAACCTGTCCATTGAGCGGCTCCAATGCGACGGAGTGTTCCTTCTGGACGACACGTTGAGTCTGTACCTGTGGGTGGGTCGTTCAGCTCCTCCTGAGCTTTTGGAGAGTCTCTTCGGTGTTCCTTCCATGGAGGGCGTGGACTGCAGCCAGGTGCGTAGCTGCTTAGCAGTGGATACTCTTAGGACTTGATTACTTACTGAACTTTTTGTATTGTTGTGTTCAGTTAAAACTTTTGGCCCCGCACGACGACACAAGCAACCGCGTAGACTCCATCCTGTCAGCGATCCGCGCAGAAAGATTGCCACACCAGAACGTGGTGATCATGCGGGAGGGCGACCCGGCCGAGGGCCGTTTCTTCTGGAAGCTTGTAGAAGACCGGGCCAGCTTCCCCGGGGGTTCGTACTCGTACTCAGAGTACCTGGGCCAGATCAGCCGCATGAGTCTCTCGGGCGGCAGCGGTGGAAGATAGATTGCAACACAGATGAAGAAAAAACTCGTCGCGAATCGGACGGGCAGTGGTAACGAAGACGAATGCGAATGGATGAGTACCCTTTTAGATACACACAGTTCGTTCTTCGAAGCTAGAACTGGTACTCCATGCGTGTTTAATGTTGAGATCGCGTGGATACCAGGCCGTGAGCAGCTTATCCCAGTGGAGACGTATGGTCTTGCCATGTGATGTTATGCTTGCTGCGGCTTCATGTGTCCAGCGTATTTGCCCTGAGACTTGAAGCTGTAATGCTCCATCCGTTGATACATGTACCTCTCCAATACTCCAGCTTGATCATGAACACTTTCTGCTTGAGCGGATGCCCCTCGCCCATGTGATAAATAAGCAAGCAGCAAATTGAGGAGGACGCCACACTCGCAAGCCAAAGGATCACACCATGCCTAACTTGGCGATCTTCAGTGTATCAGCATTACTTATCCGCCTTATTCTAGCTGCCTTGTCGTACATTGCAACTCAGTCACCCGCTGGGTTCGTGGCGCAAAAATCTCCAGTGTTGTCGAGCATCCGGGACGGCAGACATCTGGATAAGCGTTTGCCATAGGCATCTCGACCAACGTGGTACTGAACTGTGCTCGGTTACACATGGTGGCGGCCTTATGGACGTGTCCAGCCTGTCTCGGGACGTCCAGAGTGCTCCATGGTTGGATCGTAGACTTGGGGGCAGAGAGGTCGAGTCATTTGGTGATAACCGAAACGCGGCGCAACTTGGTTCCTCGCTTTCGAGGAGTTGGCAGTTCATAATGGAGTGCCCGCCTACCAAGTACTCAATGTTCTCGCACCAGTTTTTCGTGCCCGGGTCCAGGGAGAGCTTGGGGCTGCGTCGGTCATGCGCGACCTTCATGGATCTACCGCGTACGCCACGTATCTCGGACGAGCTGCATCCTCGTGGCGAGACTTTCTGCTGTGCCAAGGCGTCGCCGCGAGAAATTCGCCAGTCGCGTGACTCGTTCCTGAGCTCAGTTTCGACGACTTCGTCGTCAAGGATATCGTCGCCACTACCGCAGGATATTCGAATTCAGGGCTGGATGTACTGGGCCCGTCATGAGGACAGCACCGCTCTCGAAGCCGAACGGTACACGAAGGTATACGCAGTGCTACGCAACGAGTTCCTCTTGCTCTACCGCAACAACCAACGTCCGTCGAAGCAGGTTCGACCGCAGCCACTGGTGCAAATCGCAGTGGCCAGCTCATGGCGCGGCGTGGACGGCGTGCTGCACGTCGAGGACCCGTACGGCGAAAAGATGGAGCTGCATCTGTACGAACGCCAAGACTTTGAGATGTCTCGACGGTGGGGTGACGCTCTGGAACAGGCTTCGGAGCTCACTCACTCGCACTTTTCCAACTTCGACGTCAAGGTCGAAGACTTGTCCCGTGGTAGTGTTTACCGCGGTACACTCCACGATTTTCGTTTGGGGCGTGAAAGCTCCATCCGCAGATCTGTGACGCAGATCAAGAAGTTCAAGAGCTGGGACTCACTGCGTAAATTCATCCCGAATCGGATATCAAGTCGCATGAAATATTCCCGATCTTCATCACAAAATTGAGAGTACTTCGTATTTATCAACTAAGTCTCCAACATTCCATGGGAAGAGTGTTTTGACGACTTGTAAATAAATTTACTTTACATGACAATGCATTCACTTTTCCTTGGTTTGTCTATCCTTTTTGGTACGATTGGACCTTCACTATCTCCAGAATCACCGGCCACGGCTGGATAAGTGGTTAATCTACTCATAGTAGCAGTCGCTAACGAGCCATCGGCGCGTACACTACGCGGACTACCTACCATCGTGTCGATGTTGATAACTTGTGCACAATATTCTTTGGACGATGTTGATACAGCTAGCGATTCCTGCTTCTTTGCTAATACAGAATCATCATGAGCTGTTTCCATTGGTATGCCTTCAACGCCTTCAAACACCACATCCTTCACCATTTCAGCTCGAGATCTCCTTCTACTTGCTGTTCTAGAGCGCTCCCTTTGACTGTCACTGGATTTGGCAAAAGAAGCAGTGCGTTCATTGCTGTTGGTGATAAGTGTAGTCACCTGAACAGGTTCCGGTGCTGGAACTGGGGCAGCGGTCGTCTCTTTCAAAATTTGCTCTTCCAGTTTCGCCCTCAGCAATTTATTGGTCCTTTCCAGACTTTCCAGAGCACAACGTAGATCCGTGTTTTGAGTTCTTTCGAATTCTAGATACTGCTGGAGTGTGATGGCTTCTTGAGTTTTGCTCTCGAGTTCTAGCGTATTTTCTGACAGGGTTTTCTCCTGGACGGCGAGTTGCTCTCGATATTGCTGCAGGATGGCGTCTGAGTTTTCGTCTTCCATTGCTTGAATCTTCCGACGTCGCATTGACTTCTTTTTACTCAATAGCGTATTACGTCCGTTCGCATCCGCATTGAAGAATTGAATTGAGCCATCACCGTACAGATCAGCAGACGACTTGGTATTTTTCAGATCGACAGCATGAGATGCCACTTTGTTCAGGTTGCTACTAGGCACAATTCCATAGACATGAAATTCTAGAGGTGAATTTTGGAGAAACTCGACCAATTCGGGGGTAATAACTTGCTCGATCACGACGTTAAACTCGAGTTGAGGATCCACGGATGGTGAAGCGGTTGGCTCTGACTTGTATTCCACAGGTTCCTCATGCTCCTGAGTATCCCCACTCCACTTGAAGCTCACGTATGCGTCTTTACACAACTTCCCTGGAATTCCTCGAAGTGACTCGACAAATATGTTGACCCGCAAATTTGATCCAATAAAGTTGGTAAGCGTAGGGAGAACTAGCGTCTCTAAATCTTCCGGACAAGTCTCCACTAATCGATGCTGACATGCCTGCCATTCATGTGAAAGAATGGTTGGTGTGATCTCACACTTCAAAGTGCCATTATTCCCACCCATGTGATTGAAAATGGAGGTTGTCTCGTTAATCTTGCAGCCAAATTCAATATTTCTGAGAAATACAAAACTTTTGCCGATCAGTTGAGGCTTCGGAGGATCATAGAAGGGGTCGCAGTCATCACCATAAGTACTCTTCCACGTATCCACATAAGCTGGCAATCGATTGTGCTCAATAAAAGTCTGGTACATTTCACGCATCACGTAGACGTTGGCGTGAAATTGCTCAATATCCCACATGACGCTACGAAATGTCCCGGATTCCTGGAAGTTCACCTCTACTTTCAACTCTGCTCCAATCCCGTTACTGATGGCGAGTTCTTCGTCGTCCAAAGTCTCAGAACTACCAGCGAGAGATGCCAGCGTGGGACCACAAGTGATGAGACGCAGAGTGAATAATGTCTGCTTTTGGAGCTCGTCGGCGATTGAGTTGGCTTCGTTCACCAGAGGAATAGATTGCAGTAACAGATCGTCAAACTTCATTCTTTCCACTCGTTCCCTTTCTTTCTGCGACCCCAGCACTTTGGCTTCTCGCATTTGTTTCTGCAATGACATTTCAAGTTCTTTTTGTCTTTCTACCAATTCTTGCTGCTTTTTCTCGAATAAAATTTCAGCTTTGACCAATTCTTCGGCCAGTTTTGACTCCTGTTGCGCTAGCTGCTCAGCGAGTTTTTTCTTGTCGTTATCACCTTCCGTTTGCATTTGAGTCTTGATTTCCAGTTCTTTTACTTTCATCTGTTCGTTCAGTGTTCGAACATGTTGCTCCCATTCCTCTCGTTGCTTCCCAAGCTTTTCTTCCGCGATTTTCTGCTCCGCTTGCATCATTTCCTCCATTTTCTTCATCCGAGCGTCCATTTCCTGCTTTTCCTTTTCAGCGATCGCTTCAGCCTCCATCGTTGCCTTGATCTGCTTACTGTTGAGTTCTTTCATCGCACATTGCCAGTCAAATCGTGATTCGTGCGCTAACTCGTCCGTAGTGGGGTTTTCAGACCGTGCAGAGGGAATCACAACTCGAAAAACATTCGAGCAGCCCAATACCAATCGATCACAGTGGCGTAGCTCTATTTCTTCCCCTTCTTTGAGTGGCTCTGCGTTCACGAATACCTTCGCTCCATGGCAAGCAGTGATAAATAGCAGCGAGTGTTCTTGATGTGTTGGCTGTTCCCGTCGTGTGATAATACAGTGTTCTTTCATGATGCCAAGTCCACCAACGACGATATTTTGCTCTCCATCTGCGTCGATACGACCAATCCTGTTAGAACCAGAGTTGATGAAGTAGACCAGCTTTTCAGACATTTGCTGGTCCTCGTTCAGATTGAGTAAGTGAGGATTCGTCACGGTCTTTTCCTTCAGCTCGTGTGCATTGCTGACAAGTCCAAGGACCTTCAGCTGTTCTTCGCGTTTTCTAGCAAGCTCTTCGGTCTCTTTAAGTCGCTCATTCCACGATTTCTATCAAAAGAGGGAGAATTAACATCTTCACTTATCCTAAAGCAGGTTTTACAGATAAAACTTACCTCGCTTTCTTGCAGCAAACGCTGGTTCTCCTCAAGTTGTTCTCTGATAGCAGCCAGCTCTCGTTCACGAGCTGTGTTTATCTGTGGCGATCTGGAGCCATTAAACTCGCCACCAAGATCACCTTCTCCACCACCCATTCCTCTTGATGGTGGTCGAGCGTCCATGTTCTCTATCATGGATTTCCGAAGCATTTCGAGCTCTTCCTTCAGCTGTCGAATGAGAATTTGATTGGGATCCTCATTCACAATGGCCTTGTTCTTGATCTGCTTCGCTCTATCTGCATAGCGTAAAGTACCTAATGTTTCCTGTGATAACAAACATGGTTAGATTGAACACACAGGCTTCATTTGACGGCGTTCTCACCGAGTAATTAACACTGGCAGGACTTAATGCAGCAATCATGATCGTTTTAGAGTTACCACCTAGCGAGTCCTTGAGTAAATGAGTCTGTATCATCACATTCCCAACACTAAATTAGCTCGAAAACCATTTACCCGCGTGGTAACAGTAAACGCTTACAAGCTTTGAATTTCGATACGGGACCAGGCATTTCTTGCCATTCGCCAAGTCTGCCAGAGCGGAAATACAATTCCCTAACGCTGATAGGGACTTCAGCACGTTGTGAGACCGCGTGCTTAGGTAGAAAGGGATAATGTAGTCAGTCGTACCTGGTTGATAGCAGCGCCTTCTTTCAATCGAGACCCAGTCGCTCCCGTACTGGTTGCTCGTTCACTCCCTGCCAGATCGATCAGATTGATCCGACTCACTTTATCCATAACTTTACCCGTGGATGGATTGAGCTCTGACTGAGTAACAATAATTTGGAATATTGTGTGTGCCCGTGAACTTGTGGCGTTCATGTTTGTTGATGCGGTTGTTCGTGCAAGAATGCCAGCATTCATCAGCTACGAATAAAGAAACACGCTTATTAGGTACCGCAGTCGCAATCGCACAGAAGATTAGATCGCACCCTGTCGATTTCTGAATACGAGGAAACAGCACTACGAGTGAGCCCCTCGGCGTACGGGCCTTGGCTAGGATGATCGCGGACCTTCAGATTATCCGACGAGGGATTGAACAGATCTACAGATCCACATGTGAAAAACCTGAGCTCTACAACTTATTAAATATGTCACTCGTGACTTCTTACCTTTCACACGCTCGTTATAAATCTCCATCATGCTGGCCTCCACTTTGAACGTAATTTCCGAGGTGTTTGCCTCGATTCGCTCAAAAATCACTTGGGATGCTGTAGGAATAATTCCTTTGTCACTCCCATAGCCTACCATCGAGAAAGACTTTCCAGCGCCTGCGGCCGAAGTGGATTTAAGTTAGTACTATCGGCAGGAAACAATAGATTTTAACGGAATCGTAGTATACCCGTTTGGCCGTACGCAAACAAACTGACGTTGAAGCCATTCCAAGCGTGTTCAAGCACCTACTCAATAACAAATCAGTCAGTTGGAAGGGGTCCAGTGACACTCAAACCGCACCTTGATACCAATATCTTCCCACACAGTCTGCTGAGACGCATGAGCTGGATCGGAAGGTGGAACAAAACTGTTGTAGCTGTTGAAATCATGCAGAACGAAGTTCGGTCAACTCTTCAGCCAGTGGGTAATGAGCTAATCTGCTTGAAGCCGCACCTGTAATCGAATGTGAACGCCTTCTCGATGTTTGTCTCGGGGTCTGTGATGATCGTCTGCTGTGTCTCCTTCACCATGCCTGCAAGCCAATTATCAGTCTTCACCAGGCTTCAGGTGCACTTCATTCCTTCAAGCTTCGACGTACGGATGCACGGTGTACTCTCCATCGATTTTTCTCGCTCGTTGAACGGGCGAACACGCACCGCGACTTGAACGTTTTCCGACATAATGTTGTAGCTGTGAATCAATCGCCTACGCACAAGGCTCTGCTACTGCAGGTCAACCTGGAATACCCTGTGATGACGACTAAATCGGCTCTTATCCACCTAACTTAACAACCGTAACGGTGCCACATTTAAACTTCAGCGCTTCAGTAGTGCAAGCGTTCCCAACTTCATGTTAGGAGAGACACCAGTGTGTGAGCGAGCTCTGCTTTGTGTCATTCACTGAAGACTGACCCCTCCACTTTGCATTCGTTGCCCGTAGCATTCGTCTACAGTATCTTCTCTCCAACACCTCTTCAAAAGCTTGACTATGGCGACTGGTGAATATTGTCAGTTCCTATACATCTTCAACTCAACATGTCGAGACTATTAACTAACCTTGCATGAATGCGCTTGCTACCAAATGCACTTTGCTCACCTTGTTAGCATAAGTGGCAGTGACACAAGACACGTGCAACTGCCAGCGTTGACACTTTGCAATTTGTATTGCCGACTTCAACCACCGGTATCAGATTATGCGTCTGATGTGGCGTACACAACCTACGGTGGCCCTACAATCCGGCCCGCACCACCAGCACCCCAAAGACACGCACCGAGAGGGTCATCGGACACCCAGTGCAGCTCGGCAGAATCGAAGAGGTCTCGGCGGTGGCGGTGGGTCACTGTTCCTCTCTTTATCGACGTCATCTCCATGCTCACACTCGCCGCTGCTCCGCGCGCGCGAGCCGCGCTTCTCGCCACGTCGCATGGCCGGCGACCAGTTTTCCGTGTACCACCACATGTGATCCGCGTGCTGTCAACGCGCCCGACGACTGAGGTGGCAGCGGCCACTAGCACGAAAGCGGCGGCTACCGCGGCTATTGACGCCGCCGATGTGGCCCCGCTGGGCCAGGCCATGACGCTCAAGGAGCGTCTCACGATCTACAGCCAGCTCGGTAAGGCGCGTCTCAGTGCACTGGTGGTCATGACCACGGGCGCGGGTTTCCTCATGGCCGGCGGACCCATCTCTTGGAGCACCTTCGCGGCCGCCACAGTGGGTACGTCGCTGGCCGCGGTGTCGGCCAACACGTTCAACCAGTGCTGGGAGGTGGAGTTAGACGCCAAGATGCAGCGCACACACCGCCGGCCACTGCCCTCTGGACGCATTACGCGACCGCACGCTTTGGCCTTCGGAGCGGCTACGGCCACGGCCAGTACAGCCATCCTCGCGGCTGGATGCAGCCCATTGGTGGCCTCTCTCGGCGCATTCAACATCGGTCTCTACTCCCTAGTCTACACCCCCATGAAGATGAAGAGCGAATTGAACACGTGGATGGGCTCCATCGTGGGCGCCATCCCGCCTGTTATGGGCTGGGCCGCAGCCACGGGCACGGTGCTGGCGCCCGAAGCTGCACTGCACGCGTATTTACTGTACTGCTGGCAGATGCCCCACTTCTTCGCACTAAGCTGGCGGTCGCGTAAGGATTACGGTCGTGGAGGCTACAAGATGGTGGCGTGCAATGACCCCACAGGTTCTCGTAGTGCAGCATTGGCACTGCGTTACTCGTACTACATGGGCGCGATTCCGATCGTGGCCGCGCTCACCGACGCCACCAGCTACATGTTCGCAGTAGAAGGCACGGTCGTGAACGCTTACACTATCTACTTGGCCCACAAGTTCTACGCAAAGCCTAACAACGCGACGGCTCAAAAGGTCTTCTTGGCGTCGCTGTGGTACTTGCCAGTCATTATGGGCTGCATGGTCCTGCACAGCCAGCAGTGGATGGACGACGAGGAGATTGAAGCCAAGAAGGAAGCTAACGTGTGGCGCGAGGCATTTTTGGGCGAGGTAGAGAACTTCCAATCACAGGACCCCTCTGCACACTTCGACGAGAGCTCCATGTCTGCCTGGTTAGTCTCCAAGGTGCGTGCTGTTCGTCACAGTCTGCGGGATTTCTGCATCCACGAGAGTTTATGGGGAGTCAGGGACGGCCAGCACAATGCGGACGAGTCCAACGTGCTCTGCCCCGTGCACGTGGGCCATCAGGCTAAGGAGACCGTGGCCATTACAGCACAGGCGTCCAGGAAGGACTTGTAAACGTGTATGGAGATCAAAACAGACAATAAACGTATGCATGGGTGACATAAAGCACCCTACCTGCATTCAATCTAAGCTTAAATGGATTACCACTTGATGCCCAACGGGTTCGACTGCTCCATCTTGGGCACAGCGTGATACTGTGTATGCAGCACTCCACGTGCAGCTTCGGAGAAGGGAATTCCGTCCAAATATTTCTCGTACACGTACTTCACAGCGGGGTTGGCAATAGGATCACGTACTTGCAGCTCCTGGAAGCGACTCGTGACGTTGTCGAGCAGTTCCGATGCCAGCAGCGTCGACTTGGGTCTGATTTGTCCTCCTCCGTTCAGACATCCACTAGGACAAGCCATGATCTCGACGTAGTGATACGGACACCTGTTCCTCCTGATCTTCGTCATGATTGACTGAATGTTGCGGAAACCATAAGCGACAGCGAACTTCAGTACTTCTTTGCCTTCTAACACCAGCGATACCTCACGGAAGTCTGGGTTGCGCCCAGCAACGTACTCAAGCGGACCATTCACGTCCACGTTGAAGAGCTCCTTGGCAGCATACCGGAAAATGTGCTCGAGGTGGCCGCCCGAGCTGGCATTTAGGTGGCTACCCAAGACGCTGCTGCCATCCTCTGATACACCACTTAGCATGGTCTCCTCTGGCGTCAAAGTTGCAAGCTCAAGCGAAGCGAAGTCAACGTTCAGCGACTCAATCAGTTCGATGATCTCTGTGGTGGCAAGCACACAATCCACGTCCTTGGTTGCGTCCTCTGCGTCCTGGAAATCCTTACGCGACGCCTCCAGTTTCTTGTCGAAGCACGGCATCACCGCTACATGGTAGACTTCGCTGGGCTTAACGCCATGCTCGCCGCTGACAAAGCGCTTGATGATCGAGCCTGCAATCTGCTGTGGGGATTTCGTTGTGTCAATGAACGGAATAGCGTTCGGCTGAGACTTTTCAGCATAGCAAATCCATCCAGGACACGACGACGCCAGCATCGGCATCGCTCGAAGCGGGTCCTGCAGTGGGTTGGTCGAAGTACTGGGCTCCAAATATTCTGTCTTAGCGGAGGAGACAGCCACGGAAGAAGGCGGCCGCGCCCAGATGGTCTTCTGTTGGTTACCGTATCTGTGTAGGAATTCTGCACGAGATTCGAGCAGGGCAAAGTCTCCGCTGCACGTGGAGTCGATCACGAGGGTTACGCCGAGGTTACGGAACAGTGTCACGAGTTTACGGTGCACAGCAATCACGGGCATATCGAAGTGCGCGGCCAGAGACGCACGAGACTGAGGTGACAACGTTACCACCACGCGCTTGTGCTTCGTGGCAGCCAGCACGTCCAGCATTTCCTTGTAACTCTGTTGAGAGATTAGCACCGTCTCGGCTGAAGTGACGCAGCCGCTGCAGGCGAGACAGTCGTCCAGTGAGATCGTGGCTTTCTCCTGTGTTGTAGTGCGGATGATGTTGGGCTTGAGAGGCTGCGGCACTGCAAAGTCCGCGGCTGAGAGCTCCGTCTCCAGTGTGATTTTGGCCAAACCATTGGAGTTGCCATTGCCCTCGGGCTTGCCCGACGTGAAAAGCGGGTTCACACAGGCCTGTGACGGCTGGATGTAGTCGTTGAGATCGCCGAGGAACACAGAAGCCTGCAGACAAGTGATGCAGAGTGAGATAATGCCTTGGATAGAGCTCAAAGCGCACTGACGCTCACCATTTTTTTTTCTGCTGCAAGTTTGATAGTGATGTCCTTTTGGTGGTGATGTAAGAGACACTTATCCGGATAAGTGATGACGCAAACCTGCTCTACTTTAGCTTACCGGTATTTTAGTGAAAAACTATTATAATAAAAACTCCTTAAAAAAACGTTCTATGAGGAGATTTTGCTCAATTCAACACCAGAGATTGTCGCATCCATTTTCATTTTGTAAATGCAGAATAGAAGCACGGATAATCACAGCCAACAGCATCGCTCATCTTGCAAGTGTCTGTCCAATATATGGTTGGCATTGAATACTCAAAACGAAGAAGGGATGAAGCAAGCCTACCATTCATCAAATTGCACTATCCTTCTCCGGCTGTGCCTTTTCAAAACGTCGAACGCGAGAAGCACCCGCTTCAAGTTGTAGATTGCAACACGCGTAACGAGGTGAACCCGTCCGTATAAATGACAAATCTTGATGTCGCCTTTATAGTCTCGAGCAGAGATGTCGAATATGTAGCAGCATTTGCTTCGAGTCTGACAGGTATGGAGAATACGCATAACTGGTAAAACAAATCGATTTGATGTTGTCGACCGTCATCCCCAACAAAGAGCACTAGTGTGATCCACGTTTTGGACGTAAACGTAGTCTTTACCGACACTTATCGACCGCTACAAGCGTGCGGAGCACTGGACAATAACGAACAATTGTTAACGCTATGAGTCAGTTTTCACGACCCGCAGCGAACCAAAGATTTTTGGACATCGACCGTATAGATAATAGATACATGTATCAGTGGTAAGTTTTAGTGCACCGTAGGATAACTCCTTGAAAGTCTCAACTTGACATAAAGGGGCATGTCAGACACGGTGTCTCGACACATTGGCTGTATGCCAATTTGGTACATAGTTCGAGGGTTAAAGTTGCACTCTGCGAATTGTGGCAAATTGTGGCAACTGCATCATCCATTACATGGTACCTGCAGTGTTCAATGGTTGTTCAGAAATGCTTTTACAATGTATGTGCTATCTACAACGTACATGCAGTGTCTTGACCACCACACCAACCTAGCGCTATTACAACCTTTCCCTTGATGTGATTGAAACTATTGGAACAGAATTCGTCGCCAGACAAGCTCAAGCCATCATAGTCTTGATTCAAACACCCATTTTTCAAGATTACCGTGAATTCCCAATTTTCAGCTCCCCAAAGGAGGAGGGCTAGGGCGAAAATATTACAAGTACGATCAGGCGCCGTGCATACTTTGCACAAGTGGACCCACTGGCTCTACGTCGAGGGGAGAGAGGAAAGTCAAGAGAAACAACCAGGCGGCACCCTCCTGGTCTAGAGCGCATTACCCCGCCTCGACGTCAGGAAGAGCGCAGCCAACAGTGGGGGGACGGAGCCTCCACCGTACACAGACAGATACAGACTCAAGCTGGCGGAAAACAGGAATGCCAAGATGCCTCCGGGCGGCTCTGCACGACTAGCGGGGCTGCTGCTGGCCCTCACAGGACTCCAGACGGCGAACGCGGCCTTCCCGGAGAGTTTTGCGTACAAATGCCAGAGCAACAAGTGTCTGTACACGACAGACACGTCCGGGACGCTGTATACGGACCCTGTGGACTGCGTTAAAGAGTGCCGCACGTCGGATCTGCAGAATGTGGACGAAGGCAGCGACCTCTCGGACGTGGCCAGCATGACGGTGACCTCGTCACTCAACGGCACGTGCTCCAACTGCTCGCTCGTGGTCTCGTCCACCTACAATTTTCCCCAGATGCTCGAGACGTTTGACCTTACGACCGAATCCGTGGCTTCCTCGTCCTGTAATTTTACGTGCGAGATCACACTGGACACGCCCACGCTTTGGATACTGGAAGGCTCGTCATCGGACTGTTTTGCAGGCACAAAAGACACAGATGTGGACTGTTCCAGAGACGGAAATGCTACCATTATGTCGCTGGACGCAGACGCGCTCGGAGTTTTAATGTCGGTACATAACAGTTATGAGTTCTTAGTGGACCAAGTAACGACAAGACTGGGACCAGGCACGTTCTCGGAGGACACGACGTTGTCGGTAAAGTTTGAGGGAACAGGGTGTATCGCGTCGTCCAGCAATACTCAACAGGCTTTCCAGCTGGACTTGACGTCGGATTCTTACGAACTTATCGGCACGTTCACGAACACAGCGATGGTAGCGGACAACCCCGTTATTATGAGCTCAACGCCCGTGACATTAAGTGTCACAAGCGGCGCTGTGCTCAGTGCAGGCGCCTTCTTTTTGCTCCGTGTAGCAAGCGACAAGGAAAGCGAGTTCGGGACTCTGATTGACAATGTGTCCACGGCTTCGATGCTGCTACCAGACTCTAAAAGTTCGTCTCCAGTAGAACTGGAACTCTATGTTGGTGCGTCCAATATTTCGTTCACGATCCCAGATTCTTTCACAGGCAGTATCCAGAACGGAGACACAGTCAATATTACGTTCCAGACGTTCCAGAATCCAGCCAACAGCTCGGTGGCTATTGATAAAGTGTACCTATCAGCATATCAAGGTCTGGCTTCGGCGGTGGATAACTCCCCTATCAAGTTCTATTCACTAGATGATGCCAGTCGATCACTGAAGGCAGCGCCGTTGGATATCGTAACTGTGGTGGTGTATGGCGCGTGCTTCCTGTTCTCTCTTGTGATCATCCGATGGCACGGCTTGCCGCTGACTGTAAACACGCTTTGGACGGACTTGGTGGCTATTACAGCGCTGTTTTCCTTTGCTGCAGGCACTGGAGGATTCCTGGTGTGGGTTATCCAGCCGTCCAAGGCGTACGTTCATTGGTATACAGCTCAGTATTTCTTCAATACGGCCATGATCCTGTCATTATGCTTCCACTGGGCTACAGTGCTGTCGTTCAAGTGCTTCAAGAAGCTCAGTTTCACGTCGCCTGTTGTGTTGGCCTACGTCTTGATCAATGCGTGTGTATTGGCGTTCATTGTAGCGGTGTCGTCAATGGCAGAAGAGCAACTGGAGTGCGTGTACGACGTCAAGTCCACGTCGTGTTCGTCTGAAGAGGAGTGCGCTCTATCAATCGCTGCAGAGGGAAAGATCGTTCGGTCTGCCATTGAGGAGTGCGATATGGAGGCATTCTACTTGGCTTTTGGTACGGGTTTCCTGGTCTACACGTTGATGCTGATGGTGCTTGGTTGCATGGTCATGAGCCGCGGACGAACATTGATGCTGAATGAAGATCCATCGGACGCTCGCATCCGCAAGAGTCTCACGATCTTCTATGCTATTATTGCCACAACTTGTGTCCTCTACGTGTCGGCACAGGTCATCTACATCGCGCAGTATGTGTCGCACAAGGGCGAGGATAACCAGCTCTCGGACGCAGTGTGGTACATCTTCATCGTGTGGCTGCCGCACAGTCTTCCGCCGCTTCTGCTACTCTTCTTGCAGTGGAATCCAAGCACAGAGAACTTCCGACAGGACGAAGCGCCTTCGGTTGACCAGAGCTCCAAGGAAGATGTGTTCAACTACACTCCACGCTCGTCTGGATCGTCGAGCCACATGCCGTACTCGAAGCTGCTGCGCGACCGCTTAAGTATGGGTGACTCGCTGCTGAACAACGACGAACCCGGCAGTCGCTTGCGGCTCATCGTGAGGCTAAAGCTACCGGCGTCTTTCGATCGTGCGTGCTTTGTGTCACTCGACTTTTACTCGTCGAAGGAGACGATTACATCCAGTAATTCGCTGCACAGTATATCGAATGCAGCAGCCTGGAAATGCGTAGGCACTACAGAGCCCGTCGGCGTGGCAGGAGAGACGGAGTCTGTGCTGACAACAGGCTCCACACACGCCATTTTCCCGTTCGTCGCCGTGCTAGAAGTCCCAGTAATCGGACCAGCATCCAACACGTTGCTGCGCTTTATGGTGCACGCAAGCACGCTTGGAAAGCGTGAGACGTCTTCCAATTATCTGGAGCGTTCAAGCTCCAGCTCACGAAGTCAAGACTCGTCGAACCCGCAGCTGTCGTTCCAGATGACAATGTTCCACCCGGTACTGGAGTTTGTTACGTCGTCGCAGGCAGTGCTAGACGCAGCAGCAAGTGGTCACTCGTTGAACATCCACCCGTCGGATGACCACACGTGTGCTATCCTCGAGGAATTCCCGTCTCTACAGAGTGAGATCAACAGCATTTTGATGGGCAACGCCAAGAACGCCGAGCTGAGTGTGCAGACAGTCATGATGCCTGGCGACACGTCGAACCGAGACGAAACTTCGTCGCACAAGAACATTGGAAATATTATCCGTTTCTTCCAGTACGACACGGAAGATGGCGGCGGTGGTCTAGTGGTCGAAGATCTGCAGGAGAGCGTGTACTCCAACGCGATCCCGCGCCAGTTGATCGAGTTGATTGCTGCAGAGCGACAGGAACAGGCCGACCGTGCACGCGAGGACCTACACAGCTTCTTGAACCAGAAGAAGGGTAAGCAGAATATGGGTTTCTACGGTACTTTGATCGGCCAGATTCAGGACGATACGGACTCTTCGCTTGCGCGCGAGTGGCTGGAGGACCGTGTTCGTCGACGCAAGGAGTATGTGGCGATGCTACGTAGAAATATTCAGTACTTGGTGAACCGCGACAAGCACAAGAATTATTTCAAGGCTAGCGTGGAGAAGAAGTCAGCCGATTTGCGCTTTGTGCCGATCAATATGCACATCCAGGACCTGCTGATTGGACCGACGAACGCGTTCATCAACGACGAGCGGAGACGATCGTCGAAGGAGGTATCTGCGTACGACTTCACTACCGTTGGCGCGCCTGCAGCTCACGTATACAAGTTCAACAAGGGCGGCATTCTCTCGTACCAGAACAGACGCAAGAAAATGGAGGCCAAAATTGCAGACGCAGACCTGGATCTGTCCAAGTGGCCCGAGGAAGTTCGCGAGTACGATGATCTTAAGTGGGATCTGCAGCTACGAATGGACTGCGCATTTGCACAGGCATTAGCAGCTCTTACGTGCAGCTTCGTTCGCAAAGTGGAGGTTGCAATTCAGAACCCGGATGTCATCCGCGGTGAGGATATGTTGCGTCAGATGTCCAGCTTGGGCTTCCTTTTCCAGGTGGAATCGCTGTTGTCGACGCACGGCAAGGAGATCGGCATGCTGGAAGATATGGCTGGCTCGGTGGAGCATCTGAGCTGTGTGGCGTTTGTGATCCAAGATGTTCGAGACAAACCAATGAATCGCTTCTCGTTCCGCATGTCACGTCGTAAGGATGTTGCTGACGAGGCTGGCGTGGTGAAGGTCACGGTCTCGAATAAAACAGGAGCCAAGCGATCGCATATCAAGTACATTGTGACGGTCCAGGTCGCTACAAGTGAAGTGGAGCTACCTGAACGTCTGGCTGCTGGCGGTGAGATCCACGTGACTCCTGTGTTGTTCTCACAAGGTATCAACGAAATGCAGACGATTGCTAACAACACCGAACGCGCCAAGACTGAGCTGCAGGACATCATTAACTTCCGCAGTCTCAAGCCTTTGAAGGCGTTCTGCGAGAAGTACCGTCGTCTTGTAGTCGCCATGCCGAACAGTGGAATGAGCGGCTTGTCTTCAAGTCGCAGTCGTGCTGGATCGCACCGCTACAAGGCTATGTCCACAGACTCGACACTGACGTCACCATTGCATCTCACACAGGATGAAGTGACACAAGAACTGCGTGCTCTCGAGACTTCAATCAACGAAGCGGCTCAGAGTTTGGTGAAGACGAAGCGGACGGAAATCCTCAAGCGCTCGTCAGATTTGTGTCGGGAGCTCGGAGGTGGGCGTGTGACAGTATGCAAGAGCGCCAAGGATCGTACAGCCATGTCGGTGACGCTAGAACAGGTGCGTATCTTGCAGCGTCATCACGATCTCCCAGCACATCGCGTCCCAGCCACCGTCTCCGTTATGCGAAGCCACGGTGTTCGTATCGAAAATGCGCTCAAGAACACGGGCAAGCGTCAGTTCGCATTCAACAAATTACAACGCTCGCTTTTGCCGGAGGATTATCGTTGTCCTGATCAAGTGGGTGGCACTGGCAACGTCAGTTAGAGCGCCACATTCCAAGAAGGTCAGCAACAAAAGTCCGCAAGGGTATACAGATCTAATAGTAATTTTTGTGTTTTTTTTCATTTTTAATTTTTGACTTAAAGATCATTAAAGTGCATTTGTGTGACGAAAGCTAAAGGTTGACTTTGGTTGATACTTGAGCCTGGCACTTCGTTGTCCTTGGCTACTGCAGCAGCTTTGGCGAAGAAAAGCTCTGGACCGTGACGTGTTGGAGACGTAGCTAGTCGAGCGTCCGTCTCGAGCTGGTTGCGTTTTCGTAGTTTGGCCATCATTTCCTCATCGGAAATACCCTTTTCAGCTGCCACTTTTTGCTTTTCGGCCAACTGCAGTGGAAAGTTAGTGAATTTTCAAGTTATAAAATACGAGTAACAAAATTTTTTTGTAGACATACCTCTTTCTTGCGCATGACTTCGGCAAAGTGGCGAGAACTGCTCATTTTCAGAATATCACGCGACGGTACCAGTACGCTCATCTGTTCTCCAATATCCGATCCGGTCGCAGAAGCTTCGGAGCGTGCCGAATCGGGCTCATCGTCACTAACTGGAAGAGTGATACCGATCCGAGCAGCCATTAACGAGGCAGAAGGCAGAGCTCGCGTTGATGGACGGACTCGGATATTATTTTCGTGAAGACGTGGATCATTATTTGTAGTTGGTGACCACATCGTGTGGCCGTCTTCTAACAGTTCGAGGTGTGAGTTGTTACCTCCGTCTTCTGGGTTGTTACCTAGTGAGTTTTCATCAGCTGCATTGCCGTTATCGACACCAGAACCATCATATCCACCAAAAGTGTTCACAGACGAGCTCGACTGGCCCACAATTTCCAGAATTTTGGTCAGTTTGAGCTCAGCTGTGATCAAATATCCTGCGTGTTCACCGCCCGACATCAACTGTAACATGGAATTCGTTGGGATCATCCCAGATCCTGGACTTCCGGTCACAGTAGAAGTACCAGCATTTTCTCCTGTTCCAGTTTCTAGTACATCGTCGAAAGCCTGGAGTCGTCTTGCCAACCCGAATGATCCCTGTCGAACGGCTGACATGACTCCATCCAGTCGTCCGTAGGCAGATTTGTTCACTTTGAGTGTAGCCTTCGCCTGTTGAATCTCGCTCTCCAGTGTGTTATACACTTCACGGTTGAGTTCGATGCCCCCAATACCCGATGCCTTGAGCTCGTTCAGTTCTCGTAGGACTTGCTCTTTCTCCTGTCGTACTGCTACCAGACGTTCTTCAGCTTGTGTTTTCTCCTTGTCCAGCGATACACTGGTAGCTGCTTGAGCTCCAATCTTCTCGACCACTTCACGTAAATTAGAGGCCCCCATTGCTAGCTTCATCTCAGCTAAAACGGCCTCAAAGTCAGCATTCTTTTGCGATTTCACCAAGTTTGCAGCATGTAATGCCTCCTTATCCCGTTCACGGTTCTCAATGCATTTCAACAAGCGAGCTTCCTCCTCAGCGGACAAGTCTCCACGCATCTCAGCTACCATCTCCGCACGCTCTTGAGCTCGTTGCAATCTCCACGTCTCCATCTTTTGGGAATTTCTTGCTCGAACTTCGTGATCTCCAAGTTCTCGTGCTCGAGCCTTCCGCTCCACTTGCAATTGCAATTGCACCTCCTGCAAGAATTGAACAGCACGACTTTTACCAACCTCGAGCTGTCTACAGAGCATCTTCACCTCTTCGGCTTCACGCTCGCTACTATCAACGGCTGCGGCCATACCAGTGAGTTGTGCGTCAACTCGCAACTGAGTAGTTTGCAAACGCCTAATCATGTGTTCGAGCTGTCGTCGCAAATGCATTTGCTCCTCCATGCTGGCTGTACACTGAGCAATGTGCTGCTTAATCTGATTATTTTTCTTGGACACGGGTGTATCCTGGTTCTGAATTTTGCTGAGAGTTTCGTTCTCAAGCTGTAAAACGCGTAACTCGTCCTAATAGCAATAACAAATTAACAAGAAAACATTGTAAACAGAAGATGGTAAGCCCAAAAAATCGTACCAAAAGCTTATGAAGCTCGCGTTGTCTCCGATCTACCATAAGTTTGAGCTCGTTGAATTTGCGAGCGTTATGGTGCACGCCGTCTTCCAGATACTCAATGTCTCGCTGGCCTGAATCGGTGTCTGAGGTTGAATTGCTTCCATTTCCATCGTGTAAACTTCGGTTTGAGCTTGATAGACCACTGTCTCGTCCTGGCAACATTATCGGTGTACTGGCCTTGCGTACAGCCTCCATGAGTTCGCGTTTGTGCGTGATCTTCTTGAGTTTTTGAGTAACGAGGCCACTTTTAGTTCCATTCATAGCATTACCACTGTTGTTACTCGTATACATTTCATAAGCACCCTGGGCAGATGTCTCGGTAAGTGGTAGCAGCCTCATTCTTCCGGTTAATCCACTACGTTTCTTCGGTTGCTTGTCATTAGTCTTCAAAGGTGTGTTCTGTCACGAGCAAGCACAGTTTATTATTCCTTGTCATCGCTAAACGGTGGTGTTGCTCAGACGTACCCCCGAAATGTCTGTAAACTCGCTAGCCATGCTGTCAATAAGTAAGGAAATGCCTCTTTTTACGTCACCTAGATATACAAAGCTAGCGTTCCATGTCGATTCTCAAAACAAGCAAAAGCGCTAAGAGCCCAATTAGGATGACAATTGAAACGACCATTGCAAGGGTACGCAAAAAATAACTTTGTGATGGTGGTGTAGACGCTACAGCAGCATGGTGTTGTTGCACTCTCATTCACAGCAGTACTGTGACTTACTAATAAAAAAACAGTCATCAGGATGGCAAGCTCTCCAAGCAAGAAGAATGGCATGCCATCGCCTATCCAGAAAATGGAGCGGGACGCAGCTACTAACATTTGGACGATTTGGTACGCGTCTCAATACGGCAAATTAGAGCGCGTGCGCTCGCTCTTGGATCGAAACGCTGTTTCTTCTATTGATGTACAGGAATTTGTACGTACGTTAAGCTTGTGGTGAAGAATAATACTTACCTAATCAGTATTGCTTTTTTTTTCAAGCGAACACAATGGAGTCCGTTGCATTTTGCTTGTCGGTACGGACACAGCTCCCTTGTGGCATTTCTTATTGCTCGAAATGCAAATGTGGATCTACAAGATTGGCAAGGGAATACACCTCTTCATCTGGCTGCTGGGTGGGGGGATCTGGACTGTGTCACGTTGGTGTTGGAAGGAGGAGCTGATGTCCGACGAACCAACAATACTGGACAAACTCCACTGGATGTATCGATCTCTTTAGCTCGCAAGGATCACATTCGACTGCTAAAAGATTGGAGGCCTTTAGGTCTCAGTGCTGAAGGTTTGTGCTTCTCTAAAGCGATTGTAATTTAATGAAGAATACTCACAGCATACTACCTGCGGTTAACAGAGCTAGCAGCTTTTCGACAGCAACTCATTGCCAATAACACGGAGCTGATCAAGTTTGAACGAGCTCTTGTGGAAGAACCAAACACGGATATTAGATTGGAACTCCAGGCACTTCATTTCAAGCGCCAATGCTTCGGTCAGAGTCACCCTGGACTTTTTGCAACGTACAGCAAGCTCGTAAATCTTTACAGGTGAGAGTACTAGAAGTTTTGTGCTGACTAACATCAATAACTGAAGGAACAGATCTCACACATATTTTTTAATGGATAGGGACAATAATAAGATAGCCGATGCTTTCTCCATGGCAGACCACGGACTCACGCTCTGCGAATCCACATACGGCCGTCGACATGTGGACACTGCTCGATGGGTTAGTGCGCTCGGTGAACTGCTTCTTTTACGAGAAAACTTTGACCAGGCCATCCATTGCTTTGTTGAGGCGTTCAACACGATCTCCAGGTAGGGTTATTGGTGCTTCCGAACGATATCCCACCTGACGTGGAGACCATGCAGCTTGCAGGGAGAAACACATCACGAGACAATGTTTGCACTGGAAAACTTAGCCATCGCGTGTGAGCAGGCTGGGATGCTGAAACTCACCGAAACACACTTGAAGACCCTTCTCACTCTTCTAATGAATCGATATGGTGGAGGCTACAACGCCAAACTTTACCATCTTAATGTGCGCCTTGCATCCGTGCTTTTAGCGCAGGTAGGCTGGCTCAGTCACGCTGTTGTTTCAGTAATTACACTCCAACCTAGAATCTCACTGCATTTGATATGCAGAAACGTGTGCAAAAAGCTCGAGAGCTCTACGTGCAGTGCTTGCCGCATGCCGAAAACCTGTTCGGAGGCACAGACGACCACACTGTGGCGTGTACAGACGCTATTGGAAAATGCTGTTTCTTGCTCGGCGAGTTCGCGGTGCGTGACTACCACAAGGGTAAAATACGTTAGAGTTAAATTCACTTTTCCGATATGGCGTGCAGGAAGCGGAGAAGTACTTTAAGCGCTCACTAGCTGCCATAACTCGTCTCCCAGCTCCAAGCACCACCGACAGTCAAGAAGCACTATCATCTCCGCCCCAGAAGGATCGATTCCGACGCGCACAGAGCAATTTAGCCATGGTAGCGGTGGCAGCAAAGTCCAGTAGTGCAGTTCAGGCGCAACTTGCATGCCTTGGGTATCTTCACTGAAGTTGAAGTGATCTAATCGCAAATCAGACCATTTTTTGTGCCAATAGCGTTTGAGCAAAGAAGTTTCCTCTACGTTTTTTTACGCAACTTAGTTACCGCAACATAAGTGGTTTTCTGTTGGTTGAGCCAGCCATCCAGCCATTTGATACCCAAGCACAGCAGAGCAACATGTCGGAGAAGGCGCCGCAGGTGCTGGGCGGCACACGCCCCAACGTGGACGAGCGTTTCCACCTGAAGGACGTGGACGAGAACAACGAGGAGAACAAGGCGCCGGCTCCGTCCATCTACGCATTGCAGGCTGAGGATGACGTGCCCGAGGTCACAACGATGGAGAGTTTGTGCATGAATTGCCACGAGGACGGCACGACAAAGCTGCTGCTCACCATGATCCCATACTTTCGCGAAGTTATCCTCATGTCATTTGAGTGCGAACACTGTGGCTTTAAGAACAGCGAGGTGCAGTTCGGCGGCAAAGTGCAGGAGCAAGGCGCCAAGATCGAGCTCGAGCTCACGGACAGAGAGGTGCGGCTTCTGTTGCAGGCTTACATTGCAGCGATATACTGTACATACTGACTGGACCTTGTGACTATTGCTGCAGGACCTTAACCGTCAGCTGATTAAGGCCGATGCCGGTGTTATCTTCTTCCCGTCGCTGGACTTTGAGATCCCTCGCGAGACACAGCGAGGAAGCATCAACACCATTGAAGGTGTACTGCAGAAAGCTATTGAGGACCTGCGTGAGAACCAGGAACACCGTCGTGAGATCGACCCTGAGACCACCGAGAAGATCGACGAGTTCATCGCCAAGCTCGCCATGATGTCGGCTGGAATTACACTGCCATTCACTATTGTGTTGGACGACCCGTCCGGTAACTCGCACATTGAGAACCCTCACGCGCCTGCTGCTGACCCCAAGATGAAGGTTACGCACTACTACCGCTCGGAACAGCAGGACCTGGACTGTGGACTGCAACCCGATATGTCCCATGACGCTCCTTCGCAGGCTCCGCGTGTGCTGCCGCACCGTAACGAGGGTCTGGATAAGTTCGTGGAAGAGGCCAACATCGCCAAGAAGGAGGTGATCCAGATCCCTGCCAACTGCTTCGCGTGTCAAGCGCCTGGTGTGTCGTGCATGTGCATGACGGACATTCCTCACTTCAAGGAGGTGATCATCATGTCGTTCAACTGCGAGGCTTGTGGCTTCAAGACCAACGAAGTGAAGGCTGGTGGTGCCATCCCGCCCCAGGGCGAACGTATTACACTTAAGGTGGACCCCAGCAAGGACCCGGATGTCATGGATCGCGATATCCTCAAGGCTGACTCAGCATGTGTCAACATTCCCGAGATTGAGCTGGAGATGGCGCACGGATCGCTTGGTGGACTGTACACGACAGTGGAGGGTCTGCTGGACAAGGTTCGTCAGAACATCGAGGAAGGCAACCCGTTCGCCGTTGGTGACAGTGACGGCGGTCGCTCGCTACTGAACGCCTGGCTGGCGCGTCTTGACTCTCTGAAGCGTGGCGCTGAGCCCTTCACGCTCGTTCTGGAAGACCCACTGGCCAATTCTTTCATCTACTCGCCATTTGGTGCTGCCGAGGACGATCCGTACATGACGGCGGAGAAGTTTACGCGCACGGAGTATGAGGACGACGTGCTCGGTATTACAGACATGAAGGTGGAGAACTACTCGACCGACACTGGTCTGGGCAGCATCACTGAGGAGGAGGAGGGCAAGGCTGAGCCTATTCGTAGTGACAAGGAGACCATGGGCGGCGGCCGCGCTATCGACCCGTCCAAGTACCACCCGAATCCGGCGGCCGTCATGGAAGTGCGACAGCAGCTAGAGCAGGAGAAGAAGCAGCAACTGTAGGATGAGGCTGCAATGGCGACGTGCTCCAAGCAGAGAGGCTGGCAGAGCGCTTGTGACGAGCACCCTCCATTGCGAATACAACAAGCACTCTAAATAGATGACTACTTTTTTGCCACAATTTGTTTTGGACCGACCAAATTTTAAAATTTTGGCGCCACAAAATTCCATTTGCTCTCTTTGCTCAACTTGAGCAAGCTCAAGCGCGTTGCGATGGTGGCGCAAGAGATCGCTTCTGCAGCGCACGATGCTGGCTGTGCAGGCAACGGAGCGCTGACGATGGAGAAGAAACTACGGCTTTGGAAACAGGCCAAGCTAGACAAGCAGAGGGCCGCCCAACACCGAAGAAACAGCGTCGCAGTGATCAGGCATGGCACTGGAGAAAAAATATCGAATTCAGGTCTCGTGAAGAGGAAATTTGCAGAGCGTAGCAGGACAATTACGGACAGATCATCAAACACGTTGCGTAGTAGCTTGTCTGTCTCAAAGAAATCTCGATATTCTGAGGTCATTCGCCATACAACGTCGCACTCCAGTCCTGTGGCAAAGGAAGTGGCAGCAATAAATCGCGAGTTAGCTCCGAAATCAGCAACGAAAGCGCGGGGCAGTGCCAAATTTCCTGTTGTTATTGAAGATACTCCTGAACCAAGCCTCGTTGAATGCGACGAGCCAGCACATTCTCAACTAAACAGGAGTGAGGATGCTGCCTTGGAAAAGAAGAACCAGACAGCGCCTAGCTTGAAACTACTAGTGCCGGTTATTACAGTGAAGAAGACATCGGGGCTGCCAGCTGAGGACCTTATCAAAGAAAGCAGGCTACCAGGAATTTTGTGTACTGAATCCAATCACGCTATTCTACCAACAGAAAAGGTTACGGAGGTGCTTACTCCACTCAACAAGGATCTTCCAACGCAGATTCCCAGGTCAATGCCAGTGCTCAACCTAGATATACCTGTTGCAACTATAACTCAGTCTCTTCCAGATCCAAGCGCGACATCAGAACCCTCTAAAGACTGGAATGCAGATCCTGCTTTGGACAAGGAGAACCAGACAAACGTAATCGGCTTCCCCATTCAGAACCTGCGAGCCCCAGTCATTACCGTTGAGAAGAAACCGGAGCTCCTCGCCAAGGATCTTATTAAAGTCGCAATTAGCTTCCAGAACAGACATCGAATGGCTACAGCTCTTAGTGTTTTCAAGCGAGCGTACCACATGCTCCCTAAAAAGAGCACCAAATTGGTCGAACGGTTGATGTACCTCGAGCGAGAGCACCCAATTGCAGTTGGCCAAGTTCCATCTCAAGATATGTCCACTACAGCTTACATGGTAAAAGTCCTTGAATGCGACTTGATGGCAGTTTTGAACTACGGCACCATAAAGGAACTCACAGAGCTGCACGCAATCGGTGCCAAGCGAGCTGAATTTGTACTGGACAAACGACCTTACCATCAGCTCGAAGAACTGCAACGAGTGCCCGGCATCTCGTCCAACGTTGTCGCAAGACTGCACGGACACCACACAAACTGGGAAACCCACCTCTGACCGAATATCTAAGTTGATTATTCTCACACGTCACATCATTTCTTAAAACGTAGCCATCTCTTCTTCACCCTCTCATTCGTCAAAAACCCAATAGCTACGCTAAGATCAGTATGGCGATGGCGTGGCAGCTCCAGGAGCAGGAAGAAGCTCGGCGTCTGCGCGCTCTGTTGCAGCAACAGCAGCAGGAGGAAGAAGAAACACGGACACTGCGTGTGGGGTTGCGTCAGCATGGCGCTCCGCGCTGGGAGGACGTGCGCACAGACGCCAGCTTCGTAGAGCGTAGTCGTCGTCGCAAACCCGGCGCTATGAAGGCCCAGGAGCGATATTTACGACGCGATATACACTGCGGTGTGGCCTCCTGTTCTGCGTGTCGTCAAGCGCGTGCGTTGGTGCCGCCTCACGTGCTACCGAGGGTCCACAACGGCGAGTACGTGGTACCCGATGCTTTCAGTCTGCTTCAATGCATGGAGCTCCTAGAGGAGGAGGCGCTCTTCTGCCGCGCAGCACCACGTCTACTGGTACTGGAAAGTGTACTCCAAGCAGCGTTGAGACTGGCGCCAAGTCGTGACGCGTCGAGACTCAGGAAGTTCTTCCGAGGGGAAGACCAGCGCACAGGAGGAGGAGTCAGTGTCTTTTTGTTCCCCGATCAACACCATATTGATACTTTCGTCGAGCCGACAGCTATGGACGAGCTGCAAGCAGTGAGAGACGATCGAGCAGTGTTGAAAGCGGTGGAGTGGTATGTTACACAAGGACATTTACCACCTCAAGCCAAGGTGGTGTTCATGACGAGAGATGTCGATGCATCAGTGAGTATACAACTTGCTGCAGTGGTGAATGCTCAAGCAGTGACATGTGAGACCTTCTTGATGAAGAGACTGCCGCAACACTCGGAGAATACGGCGTTCTTACTGGAACTAGCAGCTAACACAGCAGAGGCGGTAAGGTATGAGGAATCTCAGCGACTTCCAGACGAGAACGGCAATGTAATTGGCTCTCAGTCTGAGTTTGTACCACATTTGAAGCCTGCGCAGCTGGAGGAGGCGCTAGCACAGCAATCTTCTCGGTTTTTGGCTGGTAAACTTGAAGTGAGTACGCATAATCCGATGGAGGCCTATGTACTGGTTGAAGGGCCTCAAGCAGTCGAGAAAGTGTTCGTATTTGGGCGAGCAGCGATGAATCGTGGCGTCCATGGAGATCGCGTGGCCGTAGAGATGCTTCCTAAGGCTCATTGGCGTGCACCACAGAGTGACAGACTGCTGGTTCACTACACACAAGACGAAGAACGCGAGCACGAGTCTGAGAGCGTAGATGAAACGGACGAGCAAGAGCCTGGAGCTATTCCAACGGGTCAAGTTGTGGGCATTCTCAGTCGGTCACCGAGGTATCACGTGGCTACAGTCATTGCTTCTACTGTTAACGCAGGAGACGACTACGCACTGGCTGTTCCAATGGATCAACGATTGCCCAAGGTCCGCATTCGCTCTCAGCGTCTGGATGCGCTACTGGACAAGCGTCTTAAAGTCGTGATTGACAGCTGGGCTTCTGATAGCTCCTACCCTAATGGACACTACGTTGGTATTCTCGGCGCTCCTGGAAGTTTACAGACGGAACTGAGCGCGTTACTGGTGGACAATGAAGTGGAGGAGGCACCATTCAGTGAAGCAGCACTCGCCTGCCTCCCATCTAGTGATGAATGTCCCATCGATATCGAAGGCGACTGTGTGGCTGAGTGTTCGACAGCGAAACGACCCACTCGGTGTGGGCTATTGAACTGGAATATCCCAGAGGAGGAAGTCCCACGACGTCGTGATCTGCGTAAAACCCACCGCATCTTCAGTGTCGATCCTCACGGTTGTCAGGATATCGACGATGCCATGTCGATTCGTCGCTTGCCTAACGGGAATGTAGAGCTGGGTGTGCATATCGCAGACGTCTCCTACTTCGTTGAGCACGGCTCGGCATTGGATCTTGAAGGCAGACGTCGAGGGACGACGGTGTACTTGGTGGGTCAGCGCCTTGATATGCTGCCATCTGTACTGAGTGCCGACCTGTGCTCTCTTCACGAGAACCGAGATCGCTTTGCAGTGAGTGTCATGTGGGAGTTGAATGGAGAGACGTACGATGTCGTGGAAGGCTCAACGTGGTTTGGTCGGACTATTATTCGCAACTGCTCGTCGATGACTTATGAACAAGCGCATCGCTTGTTACAGGGTGTTAATGCTGATGTTGACGACGCACCAAGACTTGGCTTAGCGAGATCGCAGCCTCATAAGGACGTACATGCCGAGGGTGTAGCGGGTGGACGTATTCCACTGAGACTTCAACAGGAAATTCGCGAAGACCTTCGTATTATTACCGATGTGGGTCGTCGACTTAGCCGTACGCGTGGCTCTCAAGGTGGCTTGGATCTGTCGAAGCAAGAGGAGGTTCGCTTTTCTCTAAATGTCTCGGAGTTGGGTAAAGAAGACGTGGAAATTACAGTGAAGGAGAGTCTGGAGATCCACGGTACCATCGCTGAGCTGATGATCTTTGCGAACTCGACAGTAGCTCGCAGACTTGTGGAGCGATTCCCGACCCACGCGCTGCTGCGTCGTCATCCACCGCCATCTGGAGATCGATTCACACAGCTCGTTCAGCTCGCCAAAGCACGTGACGTTGTCATTGACGCTACCAACAACTTCACTCTGCAGCAATCCCTCGCAGCAGCGGAACGTTCGGGACGTATGGACAGCAAAACAATGTCACTATTGAAATCTCTCGCTGTGCGTGTAATGACCGAGGCTGAGTATGTGAGTTCAGGAGCAGTCGCAGCAGGAGATGCAGCAACGGCGAATGGCGACGCCACTCGATTTGCACACTACGGTCTGGGTCTGCAGTACTACACGCACTTTACGTCCCCAATTCGTCGTTATGCCGACGTCATCGTGCATCGCCAGCTTCTAGCTTCAATTGTGGCTCCCAGTCCACTCCCAAAGTCAGTGCTGCAACAACCCGCAAGCATTACTGCACCGTTGATACTTCCCAAGACACTAGCCCCCTCTGTATTGGAGACTGAAGATGAAGACTTCCTGGATGACCTTATCTCGTCTGTCGACAGCCAGCTACAAGTAGATACCGCTCCAGCTCAAGATGTGACAGTTGATGAAGCGATAATGGACGGAGATAACCTGTTTCCACCTGAAGAATTGGTGCCATTGGCAAGACATCTTAACAAGAAAAACCGCCAAGCCAAACTCGCAGCCCATGCTTGTGACGCGCTGTTCCTGGCGCTGTACTTCAGCAGCCACACGGTGAAAGTTCCAGCAATTATTACTGCGCTTAAGCAGAATGGCTTCATCGTGTATGTGCCCAAGTATGACCTCCGTGCTCCAGTATATCTGCGCGATAAGAGTGGCGTCGTTCAGATGGATCCGTTGCTGCTAGGTGTACGTATCGTGGATACTAATCCAGCTACTGGCGCCTTCGCTGGTGCTGAGTGCATTCGTCGAATCCATCAGGCTCAACTTATCTGGGACGATACCGATCGTGAGACTCTCCAAGTCGTAGCTCCTGAGGACAAACGCACAGTCTTCCACATTCTGGACGAGGTAGAAGTCCAAGTATCCTGTGATCTCACAGCTTCCGGAGCTCGTATACCGCAGCTCCAATTGCTTCTGGTCGGCCGTGCAAGTTCTACGCGCAAAAAGCACATTGCGTCTTCTCTATCAGAACTCCAGCGTGTTGTCCAGACCAAGAGCGATGCTGACAATGACCCGATCAGTAAGAAAGCGGACGTGTCAGAGCCCAGCACCGCTCAACAATTCTCGTCAAGTCTGTACGATCTGCTATTAAATGGTCCCAATTTGTCTCCTTCAAAGAGTCTTGCACGACGGAAACCAGAAGAAGAAGGAAAGAAACCTGGATTCAAGCGTCGAGGACCTGGACGTTTGGTCTTTGGACACTTCTCAACCAACTCGCGTCGTCACTACCAGCACAAACTGGCTCAATACATGGACGAACGCTCAGAAGCTCGTGAAGAGGAACTCAAGATCCAGAGGTTTGCGAACGGTTCTGCAATGACCACAGCACAAGAAGCTCGACGTGCTGAGCGTGAGGCGCTCTCTCGTACACAGAAACTTGCTGCCGAGAAGAGACACGACCGCATTAATCGTCGCAACAAGGTCAGCAAGTAAGTATCACAAAACAACCACAAGTTGATACAAAATGATGCCCAACAAGGCGATTTTTCTGTTGTTAATTCGTCCAGCGACTATGTTGTCTCCTCTGCTTGTATCTGGCCTACAGCTCAGTCTCCTTGACGATGGAGACGTTGTCGCTGTTGAACTGTGCCGAAAGGAAGCTATTGTCGTCCAGACTATCCATCTCCGAGTCGTCTCCGTATCCCTTGCGGTTCATCATGGCCACAAACTCCTCGAAGCTGATGACTCCGTCTCCATTGGCGTCCACTTCGTTGATGATTTCCTGCGCCTGCTCTTCGCTGCCCATGAACTGTACGAGGTCAGCCTTGGTGATGTGGCCCGTGTTGGTCGTGTCGAAATAATTAAATGCGTTGATCAGATGCTCCTTCTGGTTGGCCAGGTTACGCTTCATGGTGGCCGCCAGGAACTCCGGGTAGTCGACAAGTCCGTCTCCGTCGATATCGATGCCCTTGACCAGCTCCAGCACCTCTTCCTCAATCATACCGAGCCCAGTATCACGCAGAGCCTCGGCCAGCTCAGACACGGTAATGACACCGTTGCCGTCGGTATCAATCGCCATAAACTGGTTCTTGAGTTCAGCAATCTCTCCTTCAGTAGCCAAGTCAGCAATGACGCCAAGAGCAGCCTTCTTGAGTTTGTTGTTGCCCGTAAAGCGCTTCAAGCTCGAGAAGATGTTCGGGTTCAGCGTCATACTCGATCTCGGAGCAGACCCAGAGATCCACGGGTGACGCAGCACTTCTTCAGCAGTCAGACGCTTCGATGGGTCCACTAGCAACAAGTGACTGATAAGATCTTTGGCCTCATGACTCACGTTGGTCCATTCGGGCGAGTCAAAGTCGTAGCGTCCAGCACGCACCGAAGCGAAGATCTCCGGGTCCGTGTCGCCGTAGAACGGCGGATATCCACACAGTAGGATGTACATGATGACACCGATACTCCACAGATCACACGACTTGTCATAGTGGCGACCCAGCACCTCGGGGGCAATGTAGTAGGGCGTACCCACACGTGTAGTCATGACACCGGCACTCAGCCCGTCGTCCATACGGGACAGACCAAAGTCAATGACCTTAAGCTCGGCGTCTTCGGCTTTAGTAGCGAACAAAAAGTTCTCAGGCTTGAGATCGCGATGGCAAATGTCGCGGTCATGGCAATGCTTGACGGCGTCGCAGATCTTGCGGACGAGCACAGCGGCATCAGCTTCACTGTAGTGGCCACGTGCAATGATACGGTCGAAGAGCTCTCCACCTGTGCAGAGCTCCGTGACTAAGTGCAAGTGGCGGTTGCCCTCGCACACGTCGTAGAGTTTGATGATGTTCGGGTGGTCCAGAGTCTTGAGAATGCTGATCTCCCGACGCATAGTCTCCGGACGACTCACCTTGGCCTTGGGGATGGTTTTGATGGCCACTTTCTCACCTGTGGCCTTGCTCACGCCCACGCGCACTGTGCCATAGTGACCGTGGCCCAATTCTTTCTTCTCGATGTCGTAGGACTGGTTCACGTCGCGCAATTCGCCGGTAATCTGTCCATAATCATATCATTTACAATTTTTGTCAATTTACGTGTACTTATTAAAACGGCCACCATTCTGATACGTACTAGTTCCTTGAAGGCCTTGCGCTCGCGTGTCTGCGGGTTGCGACGCACAGCCGCTGGTGCAGCGGGAGGCAAGGGAGCGGTTGCTGGAGCTGCTGCCTGTTGCGCGACTTGTGCTGCCTGCGCTGCCTTTTGCTGTTGAGCGCGGCGGTGAGACGCGTTGTTGCGCTTGCCGTGTGGTCGCACGTTGGCTGTGCCACCGGCGTTGCTGCTGCTGCTGTTGCCCATGAGGTGGGGGATCTACTGCTCTCGGGAGGAATCTGGAGTGAGGGAGGCGGCGAGTGTGATTTTTAGTCCCCTCGAAAAAGCGATCGGGATCTGGCAATGGGTACAGAAATTGGCGCAACGTTGCCGCAACGTAAGATACAAAATCCGGTAGAGTATCCGCTCGCAACGTGCATTGACGAGGTTGAATCGAGTTTATCACGCATGCATTCCTGTGCAATGTGCACCTCCAAGTCCATGGACTTAGGGGTCATCTTAGTTTCCAGGAGATATAGCTGTTGTCACGCATTGAATACGAACGTTGACATCGAGTTGTTTTGCTTGTATATGTAATGTAGCGCAAAATGAAGCCAGGGGTACAAGTACAGCAGCGATTTCAGTCTTAGCTGATATCGTACCCGAATTGACAGCCATGGGTGCACGACACCAGACTTGTTGTTTCCGCACAAATGCAACCAACACTTGCTTCAACAGCACCAACGACCTTTTTCAGTCACAAAATCCACGTTATGTTGCGCCGAAGCTTATGTTGCGTGATTATCACGTTTACCGACGTGCCCAAATGTTTATGACTGAAGATGAAGCCATTTGCGCGACACCATTAAAGGCATCATCCATCCGCGTAAACGCATCCCGACTCACTGCGGTGGCGGTTGTTGTGGCGGCTGTTGGCCGGCGCCTTGCACGTGATTCCAGGGCAGCAGCGTCTGTAAGAACAGCAGTAACGGATTGGCATCGGCCGGCAAGTTGCCCGCCTCGAACTCCTCCTGGGCCCGTGCAAGTGCAGCAAGCGCCTCAGCATCCAGCGGCTGACCGTTCTGAAGCTGCGGAGGCTGCAACATCGGGTGGTCTGCAGGCAGCGTCGTTATCTCGTCCGAGTAATCTGCAGCGAAAACAATTAGCACACTATTGTAGTCAGATATCCAGCTGTGCATCTCCTTACCTGCAGTGACAGCGCGAATGTACTTGTGCAGACACGCGGGTAGCTCCAGCACCTGAGGGTTTGCAGACACCAATGCTGGAGAGGCAAGAGCGTGTTTCGCACTACGTAGAAGGAACGACTGTGCGTCATTCACCTTCCAAATGGAATGATTCCTCGTCACGTAGATGTCCAGCAAATGCTGAAGCACACTCTGCTCTCCATCGACACTACGAGCGTTAGCGAACACACGGCTAGACAAGATCGGTTGCCACGAAGCTATAAAGATAAAAGGAACGTAAGTGTATGCTGAAGCTATGACAAGATAGATTGTAGCCATGTGAACGTACAAGACGACGGGTTGGCGGCAATTTTCTCCAAAAGTGGCTTGAGGATCGTCGGGAACTTGAGCAGCGCTGTTGCTAGTTTCTCCTTGGCCTCGCTCTCGTTTCCTACGAAAAAGCTACAGGTAACAGGAAAAGTTAGTCGTTAGATCTCCAGCACAGTCGAGAATCGTATATTACGTACTGGGCGAGTGCCAGCGAGAACTGGAGGTTTGGCAGCGCGGCAATGCTGTCAGACGCGCCAATTGATGATTTCCAGCTAGTCTTCTTCGCTTCATCGCTAGCAAATCGATCCACAGCAGGTGTTTTGGACTCGAATAAGTCGATGAGGAACTGGCACTGGCGAGATGTCAGCGCGTAGTAGTCAATTGCCAATAGCACGTTCATCGGGTCGCCTTGAGGGTCCAGACTCAGCAACAGCTTGGCTGTTTCGAACGCACTACGCATGCATCCTCGGCGTCCAACCTGCTTCATCAGCAAGAAGAGCGCTCTGAAGAAGCCCGAATTGTGCTCGGTTTGGATGTCCATACGACAATTTCCCTTCGAGACGTCGAATTGATCAGCCCACGCCAGCTCCAGTACGTACATGCACCGCTTGATGCAGTCCGTAGCGTGATCCATCTGACCGTGATGCTGGAACACTTCACTCATTGTGAGCAACGCATCAATGTGGTACGGGTAACGCTGCAAGAAGTGAGCGATGAGATTCGGGTCGTGCGTCCGCTGAAGAAGCTCAAATTCTTCTTGTAACTAGCAATGGATACGACAACAATTATTTACGTTATTCGAAAATACTCAATTCGAGTCAAAAGTGCTGATTTCAAACCTTCTTGTAAGCGATCGACCACGTGATTTCATAATAGCTGCACAAGCTGTTCCATCCAGCGCCTTTAGGTTTGTTGGATCGCGTCCAGCGAATGCCGCCACCAACGAACGTTGGAGGGCGTGGCCATTCGTCCAGTGGCGACACCATCATCACCTTCTTCACCGCTACTCGCGCAGCAGTCCTACAATATGTTTTTTTCGTCAGGTTTCGTTTTCCACTAATAACGACGCAACACCAATTTGTCGTACCGAGGATCTCCGCGCTTTCGATTGTTGCTGGGGCCACCTTCTTTCACCTGCATATAGAACATGGCAATTAATTTCTTGAACGCAACACTCCCAAAGCGCGTCGACCTACGCCAAAAATGCGCTTCATCTCCTTGTCAGCGTTCGCAAACTTGAGCTGCACGCCGAAAAGCGACTGCTCTTGTTCATTGCGAATGGATGTGGCTTCGTCGACGCTCAAGTTGCCCGCTTCAGCCGCCAGTGCGTCAAGAATGTCGTCCACCGACTGCTTCTCCTCGTTCTCATCATCGCTACCTGCCCCTTTCTTTCTATTTATCTTCTTGCTTTTCCTGCAGCGTCAAACGCAAATCTCGGTAAGTACAAACGGCGTGGCACCGCAGACTACGGCGAATTCCCTCACTTCTTGCTCTTGGGAGGCTCCGGAACCGCCACCGGTTCCTCTACTTCTTCATCTTCTTCTTGCTCTTCTTCGCTATCATCGCTCTCGCTTTCGCTGTCGTCCGAATCCGCTAGGAATGCGAAGCCCATGTTGGCTGGGCGCTTCTCCTCAAGCTCCTCGTCCTCTCCCGACTCCACGTCCTCATCACTATCGACATGGGCCTCGGCCTCACGCTCCTTCGCTAGACGCTTTGCTTGGCGGGCGGACCTGGAAGCAATGGCAGCGTAAGACGCCAGAGGTGGGCGTAAGTATCATCACATTCGTCCAACTCACATTTTGTTCAATCCACTACAATATTGCAAATGCCATTTATTTAAATAAAACGTCCATATTTATTCATCTTAAATACAAATAATTTTAAAGCATTCATTTAAATAATGGTAGTGATATTGTGAATGTTGAAAATCTTTTTCAAATTCCAATTTACCAATTGTGGCGCAATTCAATTTTTGTGTTATGGATTTTTGTATAAAAAGTACTTTGTAAAAAAAAAGTGCGCATTGGTTTTTGATCATTTTTTTTAAAAAGGTGGGCCACAAGCTATGAAGAACTTTTTTTTCAGGAAAAGTGCTTTATGATAGATAGTACACAACTTAAATGGGAATGGAAAAAGAATATTTCGAGAGATCTGATTGGCTGGGATGGCATTCAGACGAAAAAACCCATTAAAATTTAATTTTTTTTTCGTCTGAATGCCATTCCAGCCAATCAGCATGCGTGCCGATGGTTTTAACAAAAAAATTAAGTTTAAACATATTTACTCAAGTATTTTAGTCACGGCGGCAAAACAGCCCACATCTCAGTACTCTGTCAGAGTACTGTCAGAGTTGAAGCTGATCTGATGGCGGTGTTCGAGCGCGCAGCGGCGGAGCTCAAGGCGGCTAATGTAGCCGTGAGCGACACGCACAAGCTGCAGCTGTATGGACTGTTCAAGCAGGCGACAGTGGGTGACTGCAGCGTGGCAGCTCTCCTAGCGGTCCCAGGGGTGAGGAAGCAAGACGCAAATAGTTATGGTGCAATAGCCGTGGCGAGCAGGCAGTCCATGCGTGCATACTGCACACAGCCCAGCAATGCCTCGGGGAGCTCTTCCTCGCTCTGGCCTTCAATCACAAAGCCCATGTCTACCGTAAAGTGAGTTGACTGTGAGCGGCAAAGCGAAGTGATATGTTTCGCGACCGTGTCGGACGAAATGTCGACATGCACTTCCAGGTAATTCGGTCCCTTAAAGTACGTCGTCTTGATAGCCTTGCCGATAATGCACGGAGTAGTTCCGACGCTCTTTCGGATGATCCACGGGCCGTCAACAATAGTCGGAATCAGCTTGAAGCGTGAGCTCCGGAACGCGTCGTCAGCATCTAGAAATCGTTCCCAAAGCTTCTCAGCCTCCGTTGGGTCTTCCGAACCTGAGCTCTTGGTTCTTGCAAAGTACTGCACAGTGGCGACAAGAGGACTACCCGGAATAATAAGCGTCACAACGAATAGTTGGGGCATGTCGTTGCCGAATTTGGCAAGCGCTTTGCTCGCGAAGCTCTTCTTGGAGCTGCACACATGCATCAGCTCTTCGTGTGTGCCTCTGAACGACTCGAACCATACTAGTTCAAAGACTACACAAAGCAAATTGTGTTAAGAAAGCTATAGTGCGCACTAGAGAGCGTTTCAAACGTACGAGGAGGAGCGCCAGTCTCCTTGATTTTGTTTTGGAGATAGGTCTTGGAGCGCAATTTGAACTGCATCCAGTCGGGCTGGGACCACAGCTTTCGAAGTTTCGGCTCCTGTGTTGTGCAGTTGTCAGCTTGCGTCTTCCACGACTTGACCGGAGAGGGGGTGGGCTTCAAGTTGTCCGGAGCTACGAAATCTGTTAAGATCAATTGTTAGCCATCGATAGCACTCCATGTAGTTCGGTGAAGCTGTAGCATACCCTTCATATTGATGTTGTCGAGAGAATGTGCGGTTAATATGAACTTCGAGAATACTTAAGTAGAGATTTGAGTCTGAAAACGAGTTCGGCACTAAATCAAAACCAACGAAACACCACGCCCTCGCTATAAATGGGTATACCCTTGCAATCTGCTTCAGAACTTCTGAAACAGAAGGTGAGATTTCTCGCTATATTTCTGCTTCATGTACCCCTATTCTAATGAAAGAGGAGAAAAATATCGACAAGTAGAGATTAAGATTGACCAGGTAATATGCTCCTTTCGGTTTTGGTTGAAGTGGATCTTTTCATCCGTAGCATTGAAATGCTTCGAAAGTGTTCACCGACAATCATACCACTGCAACGCAGTTGGAGGAAGGCTACGTCGATGCGCCTTTGAAGGAGGTTTCTTTACAATAATATTCATCAGGAGTAGATTTGACCAAGACCTGCATTTGATTGCTGTTAATCTGCGATCGCGCTTGAAATGGATAAGTCGAGGTGGTTGTACTGGATGCATCCCAGCAGCGCCTCCGGTAGTTCAGCTTCGTCCCGACCTTCGATAACGTAACCCACATCAACCGTAAGCCGAGTCGAGTGCGAGCGGCAGAGTGCAGTTACGTGTTTGGCGATTCGGTCAGAGCAGATATCGACCACCACTTCAAGGTACGCCGGCGTCTGGTAGAACGATGTCTCCAATGCCTTCGCAATAATAAGTGGCTTGGCTCCCACACTCTTCCTCACCAACCACGGTCCGTCGTGAACGGTAGGTACGAGCTTCAGACGCTCCTTCCGAAATGCGTCATCACTCTTAAGGAACCGTTGCCACAGTGCATTAGCCTCGGACTGTGGGGCATCCCGAGTCCTTGCGAAGTACTGCACCCCGGCTACAACGGGGGTACCCGGTACGATCAGAGTGACGACGAACAGGGGCGGGACGTCGCTGCCATACTTGGCCAGCGCCCTACTGGCAAAGCTCTTCTTGGACTTGCTCACATGGTGCAGCTCCTCGGGAGTGCCACTGAAAACCTCGAACCACAGCAACTCGAACACTAATACACAAGAGTCAGCAAGAGTATTCGTGCTAGTCTACGCGTACTTTGCGAGATATACGTACAGGGTGGAGCAGAGGTCTCCTTCATCTTGCTCTGCAAGTAGGTCTTAGAGCGCAGTTGAAAGCCCGCCCACGTCGGTTCGGACCACATTTTGCGCAGTCGCGGGTCCTGCTCCGTGCAGATTTCGGACTTGCACTTCCATGACTTGGTCGCATCCGAGCATTTCTCAGGCTCTTGCGGCTGCAACGGCTTGAGCTCTGCTTAAGAGAACCAAATATTATCAAACCGTCGCGAATTCTACAAGTATAGAGTTTGCCTACCAGTCATGCTAGCGAGCGAGAAGAAAGCCAAGTGAGCAAAGGCGAGCGGTCGAGAATAGGCTGCTCAATGCCGTTGATAAGACGTCAAGGTCTTGAAGCCAATTTCCGGTGTGGCACACACGCGGATGACGGCAACGTCTGCAACTTCTTTGCCTGAGCAACAGCCGCGGCACATTCCCATCAGATCGAGAAAGTCCGGCGTGGCAACGGATCTCCCTCCAACGAGCAGCATGGGGCCTCGAGTGGAGCCTCCGAGTAACGTGCGCTCGCCCACGGCAAGCAAGAGGCGCATGAAGAAGTTCCGGGACGTCGTGTCCCCGTTGGACCCAGCTGATGCGCGTTCCGGTGTGCACAGCTCCGAGTTCCGCGGGTTATATAACCTGGCGATGCTGGCTGGAGTGCTCTACGTGTTCACGACGCTCTTCACCAACCTTCTCGTGAGGAAAGAACCGGCCGACTTGAAGCTGCTGCTGTCGGTCTTCTACTCGACCCATTTGCTCGAGGTATTGGCCACCTTTGTGTGTCAAGCTCTGTACGCCTACACGGCACTGATCCCTGTGTACATGGCGGGCACCAACACGTTATCCAACCGTCTGCTTATCAACATCGTGCACCACACGCTTCAAAGTCTACTCTTCTTCTTCACGATCGTCTTCATTGTTTGGCGCGACTGGAACCTCATCCACGCCGTATCAGCATTTATTGAAGGTCTCGTCCTGTTGATGAAGATGCACTCCTACATCCGTACCAAGCTGGAGATCGCACGCACTGAGAACAAACCGCCATCACCAGATATGAAAGACTTTACCATGTACTTGCTGATCCCGTCGCTGGTGTACGAACCAAACTTCCCGCGTACGAACCGAATTCGTTGGGGATACCTCGTTGAGAAGACTTTCTCGGTCATTATGGGGATTTCGATGCTGTACATCATCGTTACGACACACGTCATGCCTCGACTGGAGGATTCCGGTACAGTGAATCCGGTACTATCGATCGTGAGTCTTTTGCTTCCATTCCTGGGATGCTACTTGCTCACGTGGTTCATCATCTTTGAGTGCATCTGCAATGGTTTCGCTGAAGTGACCTATTCGGCTGACCGGGACTTTTACGCGGATTGGTGGAACAGCACAACGTTCGACGAGTTTGCTCGCAAGTGGAACAAGCCAGTGCACGAGTTTTTATTACGACATGTATACTTGGAGACTCTGGACTCGTACAAGATCTCTAAGACGTACGCCACTGTATTCACATTCTTCATGTCTGCAGCTCTTCACGAATGCGTCTTCATCCTCATGTTCCGTACAGTCAAGATGTACTTCTTCACTCTTCAGATGGTGCAGTTGGTTATCATCGTATACGGTCGTGGACTGCGTGGCTCGCGCCTGGGAAATATCACCTTCTGGCTGGGTATGATCCTCGGTCTCCCGCTACAAGCCGTCATTTACAGCCGCGAATATCACGGTGGTGAGCCGATCTTTATGGTCATCATGATGCCGGCAATGATCTTCGGGTTTGGCGGAGTTCTCGTTGCTTCGCTGATGCATCTCAGCAAAACGAGGAAGAAACGAGCATAAAGACTGCTAAGGCTGATATAATAGTACGCCAAGAGAAACGTAGAAAGCGAGTAGGTAGTAAGTATCAACAACATGATAGCTTTTATGACGAGCAGTACAGTCGAGTGCCTTTGCCTGTATAGTCTACTCTGCATAGTGAAGCTGGATATCACCGAGTGAGGTCTCGTACAACTCGCAGTTGTGTAGTTTACGATTCATCGCCAACATGCGCTTGAAAAACGACGAGTGTCCTACCACAGCAATGTGCTGCTCTGGTCTCTCCGCCAACTTGGCTACAAAATCCCGAATCCTTGCATCCAATTCCTCCTGCGTTTCTCGAAGTGGTAGCACTTCGTTCGGTGTCTTTGGCGCCACAATGCTGGCAGGAGGTGCATTGCCTGGTCCTGTCCGCGGGAACTTTTCCATTTCTAACCACCAGAATGGGTCCAGCTGTGAAAAGTCGATATCTGCTTGGGGCAGGAACTGCTGCGCCAGATCCGCTGGTACGCGGCCGATATCACACGCAGTATCCAGCATCTCTCGACACAAAGGTTCCACTGCAAAATAGCAATGCGTTAGCTCCGTTTAATTAACTCGAGTAAAGTGTAGAGCGTCACCTATGATGGGGATCTTCGTGTCGGGGAAGGCTCCAATTGTCGTCTCGATTGCTCGAGTCAATGGGCTTGTGATGATCTGCAGCTTAAGCGTTAGCATGTTGACAATCGGCTTCTCGTCTTTGTGTCTGTACCACTTGGATTTTATCCGCGAGGCACTTGGACTGGATTAGTTCGTGAAGTTTGACTGCTTGCTTCTTGCCCTTGGCACTCAGTGGTGCGTCCACGATCATGGGATCGCGCACCCACATCCACGAGAAGTTCAAGAGGCTACGGGTTCGCCACTCGTTGAACGTGGACTCCCCGTGGCGGATGCAGTACAGCGTCTTGGTGGTGGCGTCGCTCATGTTGATCAAATAAAAGAAAATAATTTTTCATTTTTGTGTTGCGCCAATATAGTCAGAAATTGCGCAACTTAACAGTTTGTTGAAGTTGTAGACGAATAAAAATGCTGCAAAGGTAGCAAAGATTGGCTATGCAGGGCATTCTGTAAGCTCTGGCGGGGAATTGAAAAACTTAAGTGGAGTATGTTAAGTAGTGTCAATTGCTGAAACCAAGAGGATAGCTTACCTCGGCAGGTAGTTCGAAAACAATTAGTTTGCCTTCAGAAGTTCCGCATATCATGGCTTTGCGGTCTGGCCAGCACTTAAGGCACTTGACGCAACCATCCACTCTATAAGAAACAACAAGGTGAGTGAAGTATATGCGCAAAAAGTAAGTGTAGCATCCCCACTTGGTGTGAAACACGATCTTGCCATACGCATCGAATGTGTTTTCATCTTCAAAAGTTGTATAATCCCAGACGATCAGCGTTCCATCCGCTGCAGCGCTGAGTACAAGCCCTCGATATGGCACCACGTCCAGGCACACGATGGGGGATCCAGAGCCAGATGATGAGGGTGAAGATGGCGGACGCAGCACACCAAGCTCGTAGGTTTCTGGCAGATTGAACATGTTCCACATGCGAAGAAGTGTATCATCAGATCCCGAGAAAAGGAAACAACCATGCAGGGCCAAACTGCAAACTGCGTCGCTGTGGCCTTTAAATGAACATACAGCAGCCTTCTTTGCGAAGCTCCAGATCTGTAGTGAAAGCAGTACACACGAATCGCCAATTAGGAAATCTGCGCATTTAAATCGAATGGCCAGGCTGTTACGTACTACAATCTGGCCTGTAAAGTAGCCGACCACGAAAAATTCCTGTCCTTCTTGAGCGAGGAAACTACCCTTGCAAAAGATCAATGAGGTGACTTCTCCCTGTTTCTCAGACAGAAATGACGGCTGGAACGGTACTCCTCGCGGAATGCTATCGTGATTTACTTCCCACACAGAAACCAGCCCATCTGCACTTCCTGCCAGCAATACTTCCTGATCTCGAACAATCCCCGCTGTATATTCGTCATTCGTCATTCATCATTAGTTCAGTAATCTGATGCATTTTACCACAGTATCACGTTGTGGAAGCACCTACCTGCTAAACACGTGACTGGGCCATTTCCTTCCAGTAACAACGTTGACATTTCACCCGCGTGAATGCTCCAGACTTTGACAAATCCACCATCGTGTCCAGTAAAAAGCTTGTGGAATTGCTTAGATGCAATCATGCAGGTGATTTCTGAATCTTTCTCCTCGAATTCAAATGACTCCTTCATTTCGTACGAATCCCAGCAGCGAATTGATCCGTCCAGTGAAGTACTAAAAAATTGACAAGTTTTTGCTGATTCGGCAGAAGTAAATGCTGGTAACTCACTCATTCGTTCAGCTGGGTCATCTTCCTCGTCAGCAAAGGAACTGATGTCGTTATCGATCACAACAACAGCGACAACTGCGTCAGAGTGACCACTATAATTTACATACCCAACGTTGCGGTTGCAAAGCCACTGCTTCACACCATTTGCCAGCCCGGTAAGTAAGAAATCGCCTGTCGGGGTACCGGACAACGAATACATCCCCACAATGGCCAACGGCATTGTTGAAACCATTTGCTTTTTACCAACCAGCTTGTCTTCAAATATATTCCACAGGTGGACATAACCTGCCACATCTCCGAGAAATAAGATATGGTCTCGTTCATCCCATGCGCACGAGATAAACCGCGCAGCGCTAGCACTACAGATTGTTGACGAGAGCGCACCAGATATGGCGTCGATGACCTGGGCCTTTTCGTCATATCCGAGCGATACAACGAAACAATTGTCAGCGATCAATTCAAGTCTCGAAATCCCAAGTGAGTGGAAGTGTGAAAACTTTCGCCTCAAACCAAACTGGAATTTGGTGTCAATTGAATCTTCCAATTGCTTGACGTCTGCAATATCTAGCGCGGATTCTGGTACTATAGCGTTCTCGTGGCCAGACGACTGTGCGTACACAGAGATGCCACCAGCTGAATCCCCGACAAAAAGTGTACCAGAGCGAACACAAAGCGCCGAGGGCCAGCTACTTCCTGGCTGTGTGATTGATTGAGCTGGTAGAAACCATGGGTAAAGCAGCAAAGCTCGTCCTTCCGCTGGGTACCATGTTTTTACTGTTCGATCCAAGCTACAGCTGACGAGACCATGGTTTTGCTGGGTTAGGATTCGCACACAAACGACGCTACCGCAATGCTCCGTGAGAGTTTGTACGCAGGAGTACCCGCTTCTAGTAGGCAGAGGAGTATCGTTGACACCCCACGGATCCCAGGTCTTGATGGATCGATCAGCTGAACCAGAAAAGAGCAGACCTTCGGGCCCCAAATCTGGTGCAAAGTCGAGCGTGAGTACAGCACCTGTATGTCCACGCATCGTGTTTGCCTTAGAATGATACAAATGGAAATCAATAATACACACAACTGACAGATAAGGTCAGAAGCACAATTGAACGTACGCACGGAGTTGTTATGCTTTGGGAGTGTGAGATAGGCCAATGCATAACTACACCATCGTGCTGCAAGGAAACACAATCAAAAGTGTGCCAATGTGCGTAGAGAAAAGATTGTACCAAGGTAACTAACCCTGCCGCCAAATATTCCCTTGGTGGGGTGAATATGGTAGCTTTCGAAGGCAAGGGCTTTATCTGAAGTCTGGGAACAGAGAACCGGGTTAAAGACGAGTAGCAACGTAGCTTTCAAGGCTTACTTGTGGCAAATGCTCTGCGAGTACAACCCGATCGATTCGGTTGCTTCCGTACATCGACTGTACATCCTGTCGGGACTCGGTCTTGTTGTCGTCATTTCCTTCACTTGACGCACTATTGATGGTGTTGGCACCTTCGTACGCATAGACTTCCCACGCCGTGAACTCAATCATTTGAGGTGACCACGATCAACAAGTGACTATAACCTGGCGTCTCTTCAAATCAAGGTGTCGGTTTATTTGCCGATGCAAAAGTCGGCGAACAATACGTCCAGAACGTCTTCGACGTCGATCCGTCCCAGGATGCGGCCAATCGCCATGGCAGCTCGACGGAGATCCTCAGCCGCAATCTCACTCTGATACGGATCAGCTAGAAATCGATCTAAGCATGAAAGGCACTCAACGAGATTCTGACGATGACGCTCTCGTGTGATCAGCGTGCCATTACTAGAGCCTCCAGCCGACACCTCCAACCTGTAATGGATATACAACAGCAATCGTAAGTATCATAATATTTTAGCGCAGTTCTAACGTAATACGTACTTTTCCTTGACTGCAGTTGCAAGCTTGTCGACGAATACGTCGACGTTGTCTCCGTTTGCACAAGAAACAACGAGCAGCTGGTCGCGCTGCTTCGAGGCAAAAGTTTCCAGTACGCTTGCAATCTGGGACTCATCAACCTGATCGCTCTTGTTCAGTACAGCAAATGCACCATGCCGCAGATACGACTGGTATTCACCACTGTGAAGTTGTCTAGCATTCTTTACAAGGACCATGGTTAGGCACCCAGAACTGGTAAGGTATGTGATTTCATCTCGTACCTGAATGTCCATCATGACCACACATATATCTGCGTCACTGGCGCACTGTTGGGCTCTCAAAACACCCTCTTTCTCGATAATATCCTCTGTTTCGCGAAGTCCAGCAGTGTCACTGACAATGACAGGGTATCCGGCGATGTTTAACGGAACTTGCACCACATCTCGTGTGGTTCCAGCAATGGAAGACACGATCGCCGCAGGTCGTCGCGCGAGAATATTTAACAAGCTGCTTTTGCCAGCATTGGGCGGACCAACGATAGCAACCTGGACGCCACTACGCAGGATTTCTCCTCTTCTGCCGTCTGCCAAATGGCCTCGAATCGAATCTGCAAGCGCTCGAACCCTGGAATGACACCAACAGCAGCGAGTGAATAACACTGGCAATAACTTTCTATGCACAAGGATTCAGTCATACCGATCCACTGCAGCTTCGTAGGCTGCATCTGTAACGTCATCTTCGTCGTCTCCGAAATCGATCATGGCTTCCGTGTAGGCTAGACACTTAACAAGACTGTCACGCCAGCCTTCATAAATCTCTCCAATGTCACCCGAAAGCTGTCGAAGAGCCTGACTGCGCTGTGCTTCCGTCTCAGCACTTAACAGATCGGCCAATCCTTCCACCTGCACCAAATCGATCTTGTTGTTGTCGAACGCTCGCTCCGTAAACTCGCCCGGTTCAGCAGCACGGCAATGCTACAGCACCAAAAATTAATTTCCAATTATGCTTGACTACACCACAATGACTCTAGTACACACCGGCACATGGCTCAGCGCTTCCAAGACACCCGACACCACTGCCACGCTTCCGTGGGTATGGAGCTCCACGATGTCTTCACCTGTAAAACTGCCAGGATCCATCAAAATCAGTCTCCTCTTCTCAACTGTGTAGCAGCAAACTTTGTCACCTGTTCGGGTGTGGGAACCGCAGGACCAGCGCGTCATCCAGATGCTCCTTAGTCTTGGGATGGTAAAGCTTCCTCAACGCAGCACTGTATCATTCACTGCGTCGTCAGAATCAAGTCACTCACCAATACATAATCATTGCCACTCAATTGCACGCACACACGAGGCTTTGGTAATGCTGTAGACTTGCCCAACTGCTGCAGACATGAGTCCGCCTGGTCCCCAGAGATTCGGATGACCGCCACGCCAGCCTTCCCTGGAGCAGAGGACAGCGCGTAGATGGTATCGAGCTCATACACACCAATGTCACTGTCACCAGTGGTTGTAGAAATTGATAAACTAGCGAATTGCCGAGCACGAGCAGCTGGAGCACGGCCGCGCTGTGCACACAGGCGGCGAAGCATTGTTAGCGAATTATTGGCGAATATGGTGCAAAATATGAGAGCCTACCTTCTGGGATACAATTATAGTAGGTAGTATGGAGGGCTTTCACTTTTGCTGTTGTACTTGTATGTAAATAACTTCCAATGCACTGTTTGTTATTGATTGTGTTTACAAGCATAGCATTTCGAAATATTCTCCTTGTTACTTTGCTGCAAAGCTACTTAAGCTTTAGTAGAATGTCCAGTTACCCTACAACCAGAATCGCAACACGAGCTCACTCGGTGCTTACCATTGTCGTGGGCTTTCTCTCAAAGCGTTCCATTTTTTAAATCGCTCACCTCCGCCTTATACTGCGCCAATTTCTTTTGACGGTCGCCGAACCATTGGCGTGTATTAGTGATCTTCAGGAAAATGTTCTCGCCAGAACCAGCAGCCTCCATCATGAAGGATGCTCCATGTTTCATTTTCACAATTCATGAAGTCTGCATAATCCTCGGCTCCCCCAAATTATCAAAAGTAAGTTCAGTCTTGAGTTCCATCGATTCTTCTGGTTCTCGTTAAAACTCCTCCAAATCTTTCACTTCTCCGTTGTTTGGGATAACTCACCACGTCTCCCCCTTCGTGCAAGAATGGTAACTGAACAACCAGCGTCGCGATCATACAATCTTCTTCTTCAGTATCTAGTGCTTTGCAAAGTGACCACCTTCTTCGTTTACAAGCAGCTTGTACAATACGCATTACAATCGGACATCAGTATGTCCCAGACGCTCAGCGATAGCTTCGCTAGAGACCGCTTTCCCAAAGCGGGTTCTTGATCTCCACTTGACTGGGCGCTAGTTACCAGCTCTTACGAGCATTATCGTCCAAATTCGTGTTGAAGTTATGACCGAACGGAGATTTCTTGCATTTCTTAATTAATCAATCGTTCGGCGTCGTATTCGTGCAATGGTATCGATATTGGCCCTACATTAGCGATATATTTCCCTGGGGCAGTACCGGCCTTCCCTCCGAATGAAAATTCTCCGGGTTGTTCATCGACGCGTCCGAACACTTCACTAATTCTGACGCAGCCATCGCCTAATAGGGTAGGAACTGTATCGGGCCTACCTTCGCCTCCGAAGGCCATTTGCCTCCTTAAAATCCTTCGTTTGCTCTCGTTCCGGAGAATCGGATTCAAAGCTAAATTCCGTCTCTAGTGCGCAAGTGGTATCCGTGAAACGAAGAATGATAAGGTTGGAATGCGTCAGACCCGAACTTGACAAGAAAAGCGATATTTCAAAGCTAGCAGCTAATGGCTTCAGTTAAAATTGTGCAATTGAGTGAAATTTTGTTTCCAAGTTTCGATTAAGTAGTTGGGGTAGTGAAGAATTTTAGATAGGCAGTGTTACACCTTCAAAATACTCGAGCATATCGTCGATATCGCTGCAGTCGAAGTTCTCCGAGCTGCTGCTGCACATGGTGTTGGCTCGGCTGATGGTAGAGGCTTCGTGGGGTGTAGCTGATGGTGGCGGGGTGAGTTTAGGGGCGACATTGTCAGTGGCTGTAGCTGTAACTGGAGGTGGCAGGGCAGATTTGGTTTCAGTCGGCACCTTGTCGGGTGTATCGAGCTTCAGCACTGTGTCGCACAGGAAGTCATACTGAGGGCTGTCGAGTGAGGAGTCATCAACACTGTGGTGGCTTCGAACCGACGATGCTTGAGATGGCGGGGCTGACGGACTCATTACCGGTGGCACAGGAGACTGCAGATGTGTCGTTGGCAGTGGAGTTGGCAAACAACCTACTTGTTCTGCTCCAGGGGAGAGCAACTCGAAGGATTGTTGTGCGCCAACCGAGGTAAGAACATCGGCCTCAAAGATCCTCCGTTCTCCCCCAAAGCTTTTACGGCTTGATGAAGATGCCACAGAAGATGCAGGCGACGGTATCGAAAGAGAAGATTGTCCGCCCAGCGAAGGCGAGAGAGGCTTCAACTGCGGCGGCATGTCCATCTCATCGTAGCAATTCAAGTAGGCAGCAGCCGACGCTGTGCTTCTTTCAAACACGTCGTTGGAAGTTGCTCGTCTCTGCTTGCGCAATGCACGCTTTGTAGCAAGACGTTTCTTTTGCTCTTGTGCATTGCCAGCTTCAAGCTGACGTTGTCGCTGCTTACTGAGTTCAGTAGGCTGCATGAAAGACTTGCGCTCCAAAGGAGTGCCGGGACTCTCCTCGTTTTCACTAGAGCTGGAACTTGATAAATGCGCTGCACCACGTCGCGTAGAGGGCCTTCGACTGGGTGGCATGAATTTATCAGGGTGGCTTACACTTCGTCCACGTTCATCAGGGACACCACGCACGTGGTGGTGCACATGGCCTTGTGCTTGTTGACGCTTCTTCTGTTCCTCCTGCCACCGTTTGTGTCGACTGCTCTCAGTCGGTCCAAAGTATCGACTGCGTGTCAACCAGTGACTCATTTGTCGGTCACGGTACTTGGCCAGTGCCTTACTCTTTTCAGCAACAGCGCCACGAATATCGTAGATCGCCTTGGAAATCGTGCGTAGTTTCACATCGCCACCTACAGTCGTCGCTACAGGAGAAGAGGATGCTTCTTCGGTCGGATCATATAGCCACACATCGGCTCGCATACGAGGATGTCGTTGGCCTGCGGGTGATGCAGGCAAACTATGCGACGTGCTGGGCATCATCATCGTCACGACGGGCCTAGGAAATCCGCCGCAGATCGACGCTCGTGCAAGCGGAATATCGCTCTTTAGCACTGCAGAGCCACCGCTTAGCCATTGTGTTAGCATTTGCTGTACCCGGTGCATGCCCTCGTCCTCTGGACGACAGCATACTTCCTCATACCCATGGAACTCGCCAGAAATCTCGCGCACTTCTGAGTAAGGAATTTCACGCTTGCTGTTGCAGTCAGCATGTGTGCCTACGAGCAGTAGCTTTCGTCCAGCGGCGTCCGACAAATGCGCCCATTGTGCAATGACCTCCGCGAGCGAGTCTCGCCGCGTGAGGTCGAAGAGAAGCACGAAGACGCCGTCGTCGCAGTCCGGGACCTCTTCTCGACAGCGTAGAATACGCACAGCCGTCACTTTGTGTCCATTTCGGCCAGGACGAGGCCAAAGGTACTGAACCTGCAGCGTTGCATTCGTCGCGGCCTCTTTGGCCCCCAGTGCGACCACGAAGCTCGTCTTGCCCACCGCATCCGCACCAACGACACCGACGCTGCTGTTCCGCATGGCTCACGGACACTCCGTCACTCGCTCGCTTATTTAATTATGCGCTACGGCGAGCACCTTCTCACCACACTGTCGTGTGCTGGATACAACCGCGGCCAGGCGGATATCAGCAGACGGAACGAGGACGTAGGGCGCGATATATCGCTGGCAAATAGCGCGTGTATCTCTATGGAAACTACACGACGAGAACTCAGTATCGCGCTAGACAACCAGATCAATTGCAGCAACGTGAAAGCGTAGGGGCGCGCTAGCTTTGCCGTTATTACTGCAACGGCCGCAAAAGGGCTCCTTCACTTTGGTGCTGGAGCCAGAGCCTATGCGTACGATCGGCGACGAGCGATGCCACGAAAAGCCAGTCGGTCCAACTTCACGTTCCGCCGGCCAACATCTTGTCATGCCTCCGGGGTTCCGAGTTCACAAGATGCCAACCCATTCCATGCATAGAACAACGAGGGGAATAGACTTCCCTTATCCACAGCCACGATCAGGTGGTTTGTATGGAATTCTTCGTGCAGATTGAACGAAGAATTCCTTAAATGCAAAAATGTCAGGTATACTAAGCGTAAGCTAAAACCTCAAAATGCAACGTTTCAAAGCGCTTTATTCAGTAAATAGAAACGACTGTTAACATCTTCTCATAGCGTTGTCTGTGACTTAAACTCTTGCTAATGTTTTCCAGGACAAATGCTCTAACCTTTGCTCTCTTCTCTTGATAGAGGAGGTTGACAAAGGAAGACGGTGTTTTATCTGCGTGTACATCAGACCAGCGGCGCTGGTGGAGGCATAAGCTCGCCGAATATCTTCTCGCGATAACAGGGCTTCGACAACTTGCATCAGACGTTGAAGTTCGGCCAGTCGTACCTTCTTAACGCGGGTAACCATATCGTGTTTCCCCAGCAATCGTAATGGCGGATTTCCTGCACACCAGTGCTGCCATATCACCTGAATCGTTCCTGCTGGGATTGTAAATCCCTCAGCAACCCTGTGAAAGCTACCTCCCCCCAGCTAAAGGTCTATCTGGGACGTGGCTGCTCAATTGGCGCCAATGTTGTGGTGAGGCGTCTGTCTCGCGCCTTGATCGCCAAGTGCCAAGTTCGACCGAGCAATGGCCGATGCAAAAGCCGTTTCTATAGCCTCTATGGTCATCACAGAGCCATGCACATACTTTTCAGAATTGTTTCGGAATTTCCAGCAAGTCTATCTCTCATTTCATCAAACCCCGCCTTGTACTGCGATAAGGTAACCATAATTACTACATGGGGAGGAATTCCCGATGGACTGATAGGATTGTTAACTCAGAAAATACGACACACAACTCGTTGTCGGAGCCACTCAAACAGTGGCTGGATTTGTGTTGCATATAGAGAGGTAGAAAACAACACGTGAGCTGGTGGTAGCTGCACACTCAAGAAATCTTTGTGATAAAGTATAGTAGCCAGTCCAAATTGGCAAACCATTCGCAGCGATAGGGGTACACCCGGAAATACAGTCGTCATGACAACACGAAGCCGCTGCTGTAAATCCAATCGCTCATCTTGATCATCGCTTAGAGGAGCAAAGAATGGTGGCAAAATAGCAAATTCTGGTGAATCAAATGGGAGACCAGTAACATACCGCCCAACTACCATATCGCCGGCAGCTTCGAATCTTACATACTTGTCCTGAACGCCTGGCAGGGTCCAACCAGCTCTAAGGCAAATTGAGGCAGCTGAGGGGACAGAAGTAGAGCAGCTACTAATGTACGTCGCGGCACCTTTTCTAGTAGAATGCGTTCCAAAGTCTTTTGTAGTCATTCCATTTTGCGACCGATACATCTTCGACTACCTGTCTGCCTAATACACGTTTTAACAACTTGGGAAAGCGACTATATTGGTTTTCACCAGGATACAGTTTGCCATTACTAGCAAATCCAAGAACCGCAACATACATTCCAAACTTAACACAGGACAGATCCCGGGCATTAGAGGGTTGGCGTATACGTGTCGAGGGTCTCGGGGACGACTACTATCTCGATCGTTTTTCATGTGTGCAAATGTTATAGCCACTGAGTCTTCACTCCACGAAAGATGGACATGCCTAATCGATTCTGTGCTTTTTGATCGACACATCAAATTCCAACAAATCAACAAAATGAGTTGCCGAATATATCCTCCTTTTTGCTGGACTGGATCAGTGCTTTTGCAACCACTCTGTACATCGAGAACGAAAAGGGCTCCTTGCCCTCGCGAAATGCGTTCATTACTGCCTTGGACCACTTGTGCTACAATATAGTAAAGTCCTTTAAGAATCACCTTATTTGAGTGTCAAAATCCGAAGGTCGACGAAGCTCTGTAAATAGACTACAATTTACACCAACACAGAGCAAACATTGCCAAAAGTTGATTTCCCCGAGACACCTCGCTGCTCCATCGAAGTAAGGTAGCGCATGCAGTCCTTAGTAGTTAGCACACTAAGGTCGATTGGACTTGTAAGAGGCACTGGGTCAAACCACTGAGTAATTACGTCGTTGTTAATCTGTTCAAGTTCAAGAAATGATCGCGTGAAGAGCACCACACGATGGCTGTCGTCTGTATGACCATATAGCCAATCCACAAAGCGAGCCAGCGCGCGAATGTACACGTACTTGGTAGCACGAGCTGTAGTATTACCCCAAAACTTCCCCGACTCAAGCATCTAGAGCTTCCATTGCAACTGTTTATTAATACAATCGTTTCTAACATCTCTAGAAATAATGACTAAATTATGGCTTCGTTCATTCTGCACGACGAATTCCATTAATCTATACGTTTTAGAACTTTCGATGAAAATGTCGCTTGTCGTTGGATGGCATTCAGACGAAAAAACCATTAAAAATTAGTGGGTTTTTTTCGTCTGAATACAATCCAACGGCAAGGTTTATTTGGGTTATTCGGAACCCAAATAAACGGGTCAAAAAAGACAAATTTTGGGTCGTAATAAAATATGCTTGGATGACAATCAGAAGGAAAAAAACCATTAAATTTATAGTGGCTTTTTATCGTCTGAATGCCATCCTGGCCAATGGTTTATTTGGGTTATTCGGAACCCAACTCAAAATATGCTCGGATGGCATTCAGATCTTTTTTTCCATTCCCATTTTAAGTTGTTTGGGCGACTCCTTTTTGTGGTCGCATAATTCTGTAATAACGTTATTTATTTATTTTACTTCAACATTTTATTCTACTTTAAAATTTTATTTTCTTCGAAAAATGCCTGGAAATTTTAAGATGTTTGAAATTCTGCAATATCCAACCAATTACAATCATTGAAAGTCTACATTTGTAGTAATTTTAAAATCGCCATTGAAATTTCAATTTTTCTCCCTGCTCGCCAATCAGAATCCTCCATATTCACGTTCACGACAAGCGCAATAAGAAACCAAGGCAGCGCGAACCATGGGCGCCGGGCCATCCCTGGGCAAGTTCCTCAAGAGCATGGACGACGACGAACTCGCCAAGCTCGTTGAGAATGTGGGTTACCTCCATTTACTTGAAATTTGGTCCCACGAACAGTAAACGTGTCCGGCCAAACGGCTTCAAACGTCGCTCACGAGGACTTCTGATTAACATTGACAGGTCTACAAACTCGAGCCGCAACGAATGGAAAAGATGTTTGCGCAGGCCAAGCAGCGCTACTATGAAGGTCAGTCATTAGCTGCACAATTGCTCTGAATTGCACAACTAACCTTGTCGTTGCAATCTAGAAACCGGAGAGCAGCAGCCTCGGGATGCCGACGTGATAGACGCAGCCGCTGCGTTGAGCTTATCTGCTTCACTGTTGCAGCATTCATTGCACTCGTCTTCTGCTCCACCACCATTAAGTGAGATGCTGCCGCCACCTTCGACCACAGTAGCGTCGTCTGCTCGTGAAACGAAAACAGCACCGAACACGGAAGAGATTGTCAATCCCAGTCCAGTTGCTGGAGATAAAGACCAGATGAACGCTCTTTGGACTTTTGAAGGACATGTTCTTCGCAAGATGCAGGAGGCTGACAAGAACCCGCAGAATGGTGGAATGATGGAACTTTTGAGCAAGAATGGCGGTGGAGCTGATTCATCGACTGGAGCTGGTACGCTGCGTCAGCGCGAACTTGACGCAGATGGATATCCCGTCATGTATGGCAGCTGTGGTCGTGATAAGCGATACAATCGCTGCACCGTGTGCTACTACCGTGGTCTCCGCTGCAACACCGATCACTATTGTGCATGTTGCCAAAAAGCTGTATGCATTCGACCTCGGATATACCCGGGCGAAGAACACCCAAAGATCTGCTGGAATGTGCTACACATGGACAAGGAGCTCGTTAAACGCGTGCAAAAGAAGAAGAAACGCAAGGCTTCTTCTTCTGCATCAGCATCGGGGCGAGTGACGCGTCAGAAGAGTGTCGAATCATTCATAGTCCTTAGACCTACCAGCCAAAATGCCGTAGTGCCAGACGTGAGCGGTGCTGTTGCCTTGTAATAATTTCTGATGACAAATAATTGCATGGTTGGCCCAATTTTGACAGAAGACAGGCAGAACGATGCTGAAGACAGCATTTTTGTTTGTTTACCAGGACGGAGAGCAAAAAAGTAGTATGCAGGCAGCTGATGGCGCGGAGAAAACTTGAAGTATGCTGAAGGCCACGACGTCGAAGAGTATTGCACTTGCCAGAAGGAGAAGACGTGAAGGCCTTGCGAATGTCAAGATGAGAAGCTTTCAAGGGCTGCGGATCAGTATCGTGGAGGAGGACGGCGAGAGTTGTCCCGTGGTTGGAAGTCACGACCACGCTGTGGCGGCGGGCCTCGGTCTCGGAACGATCGGTCTCGATCTCCACCTGGAGGTGGGCCTCTCTCGCGATTCCGACCGCGATCGCGGCTGCGATCTCTCGGACGCGGGTTCCAGCCACCTGAATCAGCACCAGGGCCATGCATAGGACCAGGAGCAGGACCAGGGCCAGGGCCAGGACCAGGACCAGGACCAGCGCAGTTGCCGGCAGGGAACTGGTAGGCTTTGGAAAAGGATATACGCATGTGCGAGTCCGGGTACGCCATATTGTCCAGTCGGAGGAGTGCCATGATAGCTTCATCCAGAGAGCCCATCTCAATCAGCGCCATCTTGGTGTTATTCTGCAAGAAATGGAAGTTCTTCACCAAGCCATACTGCGCGAAAAGGTCGACAAGGGCGTTCTGGTTGCGCTGCAGTTCCATCGGAATCCCAGAAATGTGAAGCAGCGGACAGGGCGAGACAGCCTCCTGCGGACTGCGGCGTCGGTAGCGGTGCAGCGGCGAGTTCGAAAAGTCGAGCGTATTCTCAATCTCGAAGCGGTCCGCATCTGCGTGTGGCATCGACACACTTGTGTGCTTCGAGTAATCCACACGTAACTTCTTGCCGAAAACGTATACGCCATCCAAGTGATCCAACGCCGAGGTCGACTATCAAAGCACAACAGTTCCAGTGAGTGATCACAACTGGGTCAGTTTGGTTACGAACAAGCGTCGAGCTTACATGAACTTCATCAACGAATTGGATCAGCGCTGTGTCCCGCTTGCGGAACATGATCTTGATACGGAGAACGTCGCCAAAGCAGCCAAAGAGCGTAAAAATGCGGTGTGGACTCTGTCATGAAGCAATTTTCAGCATCGAGTAGCAATGGAAACAACAGTGAAAGTCCAGACACTTACAATCAGTTCGCGATCAATATTGCTGCAAATCAACGCAGGAGAAGGTCGGGTATCACCTCGTATGGCTCGCCCTGTCGAATGTAGCGGTAACTGACGCCCACCACGAACATCACGAGGTCTGTCCATACTCGGAGGACGTTCTTCGAATCGTGACGGTGGGTTACGAGTATCACGCATGTCCGGAGCATATTGGTCACCACGTCCAACGTTAGGAACATTCGCAGGTCCGCGGTAGTCGAACTCATCACGACGTGGAGACGGTTTACTGTATCCGCTATCTCGAGGAGCGTCTCGACGGTCAGAAGAAGTGGGGGTCACGGGCTCGGGGTCATTGCGATCATCTTCTCCACGCCCTGGGCCTGGAGGGAGATTAGGATTCGTGTAATCGCGCGATCGGTCGTCGTTGTAACGCACACGAAGCTCCGGGTGACGTGAAAACACGATGCTCAACTGGTTGCAGCCTGTGTAGATGTCACGTCCATCCAGTGCAGACTGTGCAGCCTGAGCTTGATCCACTGATTCCATTTGCACCAGCGCCTTGAACTCATTATCCTTCCAGAATGTGACGATCTTCTGAACGTTGCCAAACTTTTGGAAAACCTGCAGTGTGAACAACCACCAACTGAATTTGTAAGTCTAGAACGTTGCCACCACAATCGTGTAGCTGAGCCCGTACCTGTTGCAGCACGTCCACTGTGACGTCGTACTCGATCTTGGACACCGACACCATCAGAATTTGATTTGGTGGACCAATGCCACGACGAGGGCCATCGTGAGGGATCAAGCCAAGTTGACCTACAAACCATAACTCTGCAACGTCAGCATTTTGCTCAATTACACATAGCACAGCAGTATCGCACCTCCAGTGTCTCCTTGGTACTGAGGCATGTCTTGTTGGGGAGGGTATTGCATGGACGGAGGCTGCTGGTACGGTGCAGTTCTAGGCAGTTGCTGCTGTTGATAAGCAGGTGGGGTATCGTGCTCCGGACGCACTGTGATTTCATTTCGATTACTGAACTCGAAGAAGATCTTCTTGCCGCGGATAAGTGCGTCGCGCGTCTGGTAGAAAGTGACGAGGTTGGAGGCCGATGTGACGTCTGGGAATTGCACGAACGCTTGGCGTTTCTGAGGGATCATGAGACTCTTCTCAACGACTGCGAAGGGGCAGCAAAGCGCGAGAAGCTCGCTCTCGAGACAGTCAGCAGGCAGTCCGCAGACGAACACAACCTACGTGGTGGCAAGGGCAGGACACAAGACACAAAGAGCAGGACAGGAAGAGTGAGCAGGTTGCATCCGGATCAGAACGTGTAAGCATAGAACCAAGCCAAGTCAGAGTCAAGTAGTTACCCGCGATGCCGACTGCGAGTTGCGCTGGCGCTTGGACGGGTCGAAGTCATCGCCTCCGTCAAACTGGCGCTTCATACCACCGACGGATGTCATCAACGATAGAGGAGAGAGAGGGGGGCAACCAGATTGAGAAGCGAGGTGGGCAAGAAGCAAAGTCGTAGGCTGCAGAAGGCGAGGAGCGAACGCGTAAGCCAATGCGGAGAAGAATAGTCGACAATGTTCGATTCTTTGCCAGCGAGCAGGCAATTTACTGCGCACACCTACACGTACTACGGACGACAGCAGCACAAGACACAACACAGTCAGTTACAACATGGTATGAGCGGGTGCGAGCCCTGACAATCGCATAATGGAGCGTACCCCGAGAACAGCTTTTCTTGGTTGAGGCAGGATTCGAACGGATCGTGCGGTTGGAGTAAGCTGATGGCCCAAAATAATCTATATTGGGGATGTATCAGGACGTAAGATTGGGCTGCGAAGCTATTTCTGACGTAAAAGAAGGGGTTGAGAAGAGGTTTTATCTTTGGTGGCAGTCGCTGATTGGTCAAAAGTTTTGCGGTTTCACTAATTCCTGGATCTATTTCCAGCAAGGTCGGCGCCGGTCGTTTGATCGCTCCCCCTCGGTCGGAGGTTTTCTCCCTCCCTCATTTGCGAATCGCGCCCGGAAGAGAAGCAGAGAGCAAAGTAGGCGAGAGCCAGGGGATTCAATCAGCTAGCAACCATGGGTATGGCCTTTTCGCGCGTGTTCGAGCGCCTCTTCGGCAAGAAGGAGATGCGCATCCTTATGGTCGGTCTCGATGCCGCCGGTA